CTCAGTGTTCTCTCAGTCCTGTCAGGACTCACATCTCCTGCATATAATAGCCACCACTTACTTTACCCAGGAGGGAGAGGGAGGGAGAGAGAATGCCATGACAAAGGGTGTTTACATCCATTTGATCCTCCCCTTCCAGGTCTTCGAAGCCCTCCCCAAGCTCCCACCCTTCACTTGGCCCCTGGACTAACATTTCTTATATACAGATCTATCCATCTTATATCCAGACCTGCTCTGCTCAAAACTCTTCTTAGCTCCCTACTACCTGGTGAAAAGAATTCAGACTGCCCCACCTGGCTATTCAAGAGACTCTCTTTAAATTCTTTAAGGCCTTCCGCAAAATGGTGCCTCTCAGCCCCTACTTTTCACACTTTTCGGGTCTATCGGTACTTAGCACAGTGTCTGACACATAGTAGGTGCTTAATAAATGCTTGTTAACTTGGTTACTGTATATATGCCGCTGTTTCCCACCTCCAAACCTGGATCATTCTGTTCTTTATGCCTTCCCCTTGTTTGCCGGTTAAATTCTTACCCATCCTTGAAAGCCTGACTCAAATGCTTCCTCCTCTGTGAAGCTTTCCTGATTGCACACCAATCCTGGGCTTTCCCCTCAGCCCCAAATGTGCTCCCTGTTTTGTTTAGAGCCATTTTTACAGGTATTTGGAGGGATTTGGGGGAGAGCTCAAGCAAGTCACTGCTTTCTTCTGTGCTCCCTATTTTGCATGCCTCCGATGAACGTCTCCTGCACTTTTCTCATCTACAAGATGAGGCTGGACTTCTGGGCTGGTCCTTCTCCTGTGCATCCACAGCACACCTTGCCTTCCCATGATGCTTGAAGGCTTCCTGAGCACTCTTCTCACAAGGGCCCCATGATCGAGACAGAGAAAGGCTAATGACCTTTTTCTACAAGAGTAGACACTCAGAGAGCTGGGGGATTGCTCACCACACCCAGGGAGTGGTAGGGCCAGAGTCAAGCTCCCATCCCACACGAGGCCAGGACTTTCTCCATTTGCCCTGGCTAGCTTTCTCTTGATCCTGGACAGATTCCTTTTCTGAACCTCATTTTCTTTGTTTGTAAAGTGGGAATATCGAGGCTTGTGTTCCCTTATTTCCCAGAAAGCGTGCTGAAATGTTCTTACCTATTATTATAATGACATTTTAAGGATAAGTACGTGGTAGGAACTAGAGTGCTAGGTCTCAGAGTCAGGAAGACCAGGGCTTCATTCCAGCCTTCAGGCCCTGCTGGTCATGGGGCTGTAGGCTCCTTACTTTTCTGCATGCCTTGGAAATCTCAAAGAAGAAAAGTTACAGGTGTTGGCAAGTACTGACCTCAGAAGTCTGGTCCAGAAAATCATCACCATGGCTGGCATTTATAATGCAGTAACATCTACAAAGCCACTTATGTGTATTATCACATCTCATCTCATCTTCATACCGGCCCTCTGTGACAAAGGTGCTGTTATGCCCACTTTATAGATGAAGAAACTGAGGCTCAGAAAGGACAAGTGATTTGCCCAGGGTCACAGGGCTGGTAAGTGCTTGTCAGGGAGAGGGGGAATCTTCCTGACTCCAGGCAGAGCACAGACTTCTCTACATCTCTCTTCTTATGACACCTCCCCCGCCTGCCCCTCTGTTCCTCCATTGACTAGCAGCAGCCCCCCTCCCTACCTTGCTGAGGTATCCAGGGAGACGGGAAGTGCCTCTGGGGGAAGAGGAAACGTGACTCATCCCCAGTTGGGCTGCAGCCAGATGGGGAGGAGGCCGGTAGTGACCTCACCCCCAGAGCGCTGGCTATAAATAGAAATCTGTGGGGTGTGTGTGTGTGTGGCCTCCAGACTGAGTCTCACGAGCTCCCAGAGGGTCTGTCTGCTTCAGTGCCCTCCCTCCAACCTCCCATCAGTTCTCTCAGGGCTGAAGCCCGGGTTCCTTCCCAATCTTAGCCGCAGAGACCTGACGCTAGATGGCATCTTGAGAGGCAAACATGCCCCCTCCCCTCATCTGACAGATAAGGAAACTGAGACTCAGAAAATGGAAGAGTCAAACAGGAATTAATAGAGGCAAGAGTTGAACTCAGTGCTTAGCACTGTGTCTGGCACATAGTAGGCACTTAATGAATGTTCATTGACTGGCTGACTGACTAAACCAAGTCCTCTGATTCCAGAGCTAGGGGTCTTTCCATAGTTTGCTCCTGATGAGAAGAACTAGAGGCCCAGGCTTCCTCCTTTACCCTGGTGGAGTTCATTTCCATGGAGGTGAGAAATTAACCTGGCTCTCCCACTCAGTCAGGCTCTTAGGGCTTAAAATTAGAAGAGGCCTTGATTCAATGTTCTCATTTTAATGATGGGGAAATGGAGGCCCAAAGATAAGTGAATTTTTTTTGGAGGCAATTGGGGTTAAGTGGCTTGCCCAGGGTCACACAGTTAGTAAGTGTCAGGTCTGAGACTGCATTTGAACTCAGGTCCATCCTGACTCCAAGGTCGGTGCTCTATCCACTGTGCCACCTGGCTGTCTCAGAGCTAAACAGTTTTTAAGAGCATAAAGGTGTCCTGAGACAAAAAAACTTTGAGAATCACAACTCCAGAGGATGCTTCCCCCTTCTTTTTCTGTTTCACCCATACATCCATTCATCCATTCAGCATCAGATGGTCAGTGGGCATTTAAAAGGGAAGTGATGATTACAAAAATCCAGGACGGCTTCATCAGGAAGAGGCAATGACAGACTGACCTCATTCCCTTTTTTTGACAGGTCAATTTAGAGGGTGCTGCAGAGAACATCCTAGTTTGCTAAGATTTCAGCAGAGTGTTTGACAAGGTCTCTCATGCCAGTCTTCTGGGGGAAAAAAACTGGAGAACTCTGGTCTATGGGATAGGACAGTCAGGTGTCTTCAGAACTTCAGTGACCAGACCCAAGGAATATTCTTCAATGGGTCAATAGCAGCCTATAGGGAAGTCTCTAGTGGAGTGCCCCCAGGATCTACCCTATGCTGTTTAACATTTTTATCACTGGTTTGGATGAAAGTATAATAAGGTGGCCCTCTGATCAGATCTGCCTGTGATGGAAATCTGAGAGGGTCAGCTAACCCATGATAGGCCAGGGTTAATAGGCTAGCTATAAAGATATTCTAGGCTAGAATGAAAGGTCAAATACAATGAGATGAAATTGAATAGGGATATATACATATATCTATACATACATATATACATATACATATATGTGTGTATATGTGTGTGTGTGTGTATGTGTATATATATATATATAGGGAGAGAGAGAGAGAGAGAGAGAGAGAGAGAGTCCTACATATGGGTTCAGAAAATTAGGTTCATGAATAACTCCCTGAAAGGGCAGGGATGGAACCCACAGTATAGCCAACCTGTGCCCTCTTGGTGGAGAGAGGTTAAGGGCTATTTGGATAGAATACTGTCAGTGTATGACTTTTCCTCTGATTTTTATGGACATCTTTTGTTTTTACATCACCTTCATTTCCAAATATGACCCTCCTCTCCCCCTGCAATGAGCCATGCCTCATTAAAAAGATTTTAAAAGAAAACGAAAAACAAACAGCTGACCCAAACCAACCAACACATCTGCAGTGACTGACAGTGTTTACAATAGTCCACACCCATAGTCCCCCACTTCTACGAGGGTGGGGGGCATTGTCTCGCCTCTTCTCCAGGATCAAGCTTGGTCACTACAATTGGAGATGGAGTATTTCCAGAAATAGCTGATGTAATGACAAGAGACATTAATGAAACTTGTTTGAACAAAAACGTTTTAAAAAAATCAGCTTCCTGAGCATAAGTGGGGGAAGGGTGCCAAACAATAGCTCCTCTTAAAAAGGTCTGGGAGTTTGAGCAGATTGCAAGGTCCATGTGAGCTGATTGACAGGGCGTTGGGTTGGCCAAAGAACTCATGCTTTCCCAGGATGCATTAAGAAAAGCAATGAGGAGGGAGGCAGTAATCTTGCTGGACTCTGTCTTGGGGAAGGTTGGAATCAGCTGTGGGTGTCCTATTTTAGGAAGGATAGATAGTGAGAACTAGGAGCTGTCCAGAAGAGAGTAGCCAAGATGGCGGTGGGCTTTGGGCCCTGGGCTGAAGGACCCAGAGAAGAAAAGATGGAGTGGAGGGGGAGGGGAGGAAGGTAGCTTTCTCTGAGGATCTGAAGGGCTGTCTGTCATGGAGAAGGAGGATTCAATTAGATTTGTTCTGCAGATGCAGGGACGAAGATTCTTGACCATCACAGCTGTATGGAAAGAGAAGGGGGCTGCCTCTGGAAGTGTGTGTGCATTTGTGTGTGTTGGGGTGGGGCTGAAGGACCCCCATGGAGGATGGTATCTAGAGAAGCTATTGCTATTCATAGTCAGCTTGGAGCGGGGACCTTCCAAGTCCCTTCCTACTTGGAGATTCTATGCTAATTTCCTCTCAGTGTGGGGCTACGGCTGTTCCATTCAGAGGGAAACAGCTTCTGAAAATCCAAGGATAAAAGTCTGTTGGACCATGAAAAGTTGTCCATAATGGTTAATCCAGTTTTCAAAGGGCAGTAACAGAAAGGGTTAACCACAGGATCCCCATAGTTTATATTTACAGCCTTATGAGTAATCAATCATTAAATTAAATGCCTACTAAGTGCTAAGGGCTGAGAATGCAAAGAAAGACAAAAGACACTCCCTGCCCTCAAGGAGTTTGCAATCTCATGGGGGAGATATGCAGCAAGTGAACAATTTAAACTATGGTAAAGTTTCTGCCGCAGTTTCCGGCGGTGCAGTTTGCTCTAAAGCCAGGTGTGCCTACACTGCTCTGGTCTCTACTCCAGTCTCGGGGTCCAGAGTCATAGATCTAGGCTGGTGACCTAGGCTGGTGACCCAGCTTGGCTACCAAGAGGGTGGAAAAGAATCAGGGCTGGCAGAAGCCTGTTGAGCTGGAGAAGCAATGGCTAAAGATCTGCTGTCCTCTCCTGGGGGCCTTGTCTGTGACTGTTCCTGCATTTCTTCTCCCCACCCAGGATGCTTTCCACGCCTTCCACCAGGACCTGTGTTTTGTGAAGAAGTTCTTGAAGCCCTTGCAGATTGGGGAGCTGGCCCCTGGAGAGCCCAGCCACGACAGAGAGCAAAATGTGAGTTAAGATCACTTTCTATGGGGAGACGAGAGCAGAGATGAGGCACCTTGTGCCACCAGTACACAACCAAGTGTTTCCCAATCCCCAGAGCCTAACCTCGTCCCTCCATTGCTCAGAAGGCTTCCATGGCTCCTCATTACATTATAGGATCTTGGAGAGACCCTCAGAGATTGCCCAGTCCAGCTGTCTCATTTTATAGATGAGAAACTAAGGCCCAGTGATGGAAAGGGAACTGCCCAAGGTGCTGGAGGAAGTAAGCTGCAGACAGGTTTCAAGAACGGTCTCGTCTATGTTCCTTACTCTTTCCGTTCCATGATGGCTACTTTAAATGAGAATAAAGATCTTCTGGACTGTCCAGGTCCTCAGGGAGTATGGAGTGAGATGATAAGTGGGAAAGAGCTTCGAGAAACGTCCTAAGTAAATCCCGCTCAATCAATGACTGTTCATTGAACAGATCAATAGACGAATGAGAAGTCCTGGATGGATAGATGGGTGGATGGCACTTTTTAAAAATTCCTTCTTCGCTGACCTGTCCTCTGGGTCACCCTTGGCACCTCTTTTTCAGACCTCTAAGTCATGGCCATCACATCCATGATGGTGAGGCAGAAATAGTGTTGGATTTGGGAGTCCCACCCAACGGTGACCTTGGGCCAGGCATTCCCCTCCAGAGGCCTCCATGTTCTCATCTGTAGAATGGGACAGTTGTGCTTCAACCATAGATTTACACAGCTGTGGAATTGCACAGGTGGCAAGGCATCTCTGAGGGTATCCAACATCTCCCTGAAGCAGGAGTGCCCTCTACAACAAGGCCTCCAGTGACAGGGACCTCACCACCACACAAGGTGGCCTATTTCACTCAGAGATCCATTTAACCCTTCAGAGAGGAGTTCCTGGAGAATGGTGGGCGGTGGGAGAGCATCCAGAGACCCTACAGTATCTTTGGCATGGTGTGTTTGTCTTCTTCTGGCCTGGCCAGGGAGGTGGGCTGGGTCCCCAAATGGGGACTGGGGAGAAGACTCAGGATCCTAGATTAAGATTAACCTAGATTAACCACTAGACATTCACCACTGTCCTAGATTAACCACTAGATTAAGGCTGGGACAGACTCAGAGACCTGACGGACTCACCCCACCCCTCTCCCCACTAGGAGCAGCTGATTGAGGATTTCCGTGCCCTGCGCAAGACTGCAGAGGACATGAAGCTGTTTGAGGTCGACACTGAGTTCTTCTCCCTAATGTTGGGTCACATCCTGCTCATGGAGGGGTTCGCCTGGCTGATGGTCTACCTCCTGGGCAATGGCTGGGTCCCCACCATCCTTGCTGCTGTGGTCCTGGCCATCTCCCAGGTGAGCACCCTTGGGCTGGGGACCTGGAGGGGTCACAGAACATGGGAGTCTGCTTAAGCTGAAAAGCTGGCTGTCATACATCTCTGATAATTGAGATATGGCTGTATGAAAGTGGGCCACCATTTTGTGTAACAGATGAGGCAGGGCTCCTGAAAATGTATGGATTTGCTGAATTTTTGTTAATTAAAAAAAAAACATTTGAAGTGCAAGGGGAGAAGGTATGGTGAATGGAGCTCCATCCCAGGGTAGACCCTCCAGCATCCCTTATTCCCATTTCTTTATCTTTCGTGTAAATGAGGTTTCTTTGGATGGAGTTGCTTTTTGAAGGTCCCCCCCACTCTCCATTCACACTGTATCCACAGGGACTCCCCCCCTACTCCTCCTCCTCCTGGTGTAAATCAGATTTTCAGGCTGTGGAGTAGAGTAGGGGATGGGGATGAAGAGAAGTGTGAGTAAACCCCATTATTACCTCCCTGGTCCAGAGGTTTCACTCCACCTCTTACCCAGGCAAGATCAGAAACAAAGACAGATCTGGCCCCGAAATTCTTCAGTGGTTCCTGATGGACACCTTACATAATAAACCTTGATGCGGCATTCACGGCCCTCGGCAATCAGGAAAGGTTAATTAGTTGCTTGTCCAACTAGTCCAACTAGATGTATCACATCTCTTCTCTGCTTGATGACCTAAGGGCAGCTGGGTGGAGTATTCACCTTGGAGTCAGAAAGACCTAAATTAAAATCTTGCCTCATATACTGACCGTATGTGATCCTGGGCAAGTTATTTCTCTGGGCCTCAGTTTCCTTCTTTGTAAAATGAAGGCACTGGACTCGATGACCCTGAGGTGCCCTGTCTCTCTAGGGATGACAGCTATGATCCCTGGTATCAGGCTGCTCCTTCTTGCTTCTGAGGTCATTCCCTGTGCTCTGATAGCTGGGTTGTTATAATAATGGCCAACAATTACGAAGGGATTTAGAAAGCTTTGCAGAGTGCCCATTATCTTATGTGAGCCTCACAACAAACCCGTGAGGTCAAAGCTATTATCATCCCCATTTTTACAGATGAGGAAACTAAGGTCAAGAGCCCCAGAGCCACACAACTGTAAATCAGCTGTAAGTGTGGTGATCCACGTCTTTCCAACTTAGTTTAGTGTTCTATCCACTAGGCAACCCTACCGGTAATCTGGAGGCCTTCTCCTTGTGTTAAAATCCCCTTCCTTCAAAGCTCAGCTTGGGTGCCGCCTCCTCCTTGAAGCCCACCCCGATTCCCCCAGATGAAGCGATCTGTCCCTCCTCAGCTTTTTCTGAAGCCCTTTGTCTGGATCTCCTCCATATCCCCATCATTTTCTACATCGTATCCTACATAGGTGCCTCTCTGCCACCTCCCACTTCCTCCCTTTGGGGTCTGTGAAGGTAGGAACTGTTTTTTGGTTTGTCTCTGTGTGTCTAGCACCAAGGACAGGGACACATACACTAAAGGCTTAATGAGGACTTTTCAAATTGAATCCCTTGAGTGGGATCCTTCTGCCCAAGCCCTTTGAGCTGCCTCTATGACTTCTCTCCCCAGGCTCAATCCTGGTGTCTGCAGCATGACCTTGGACATGTGTCTTTCTTCAAGAAGTCCAGGTGGAACCATGTGGCCCAGCAATTTGTGATGGGACAGCTGAAGGTAATGACTAGGGGCTGGACCCTGGATGTGTGTGTGTGTGGGGGGGGTGGAGTCCATCTATTCCTCCTTCCCTCAGGAAAGCCGAAGCTCCCTTCCCTTGGAGCTTGGGGAGGTGACCAAGGAGAGTGACAAGGGCCCCCAGCTAGACGTGAGGAAGCCTTGTTTGGATTCCCACTAACTCATTATGCCATGTTGGGTGGTTCGCTTCTCCTCATCCGAAAAATGAAGGGGTTTGGGTCTGGATAAGATCATTCAGGTCATCTAAAGTCCTTTCCTGATCCAAGTGTCCATGTTCTAACATCCCTCTAGCTCTAACATTTTGTGTCCTCAGGTCCTTCCTAGTTCTAACATCCCATGTTCTAAGAGCCTTTCTACTTGTAACATTCTGTGTTCTAAGGTCCCTCCCAGCTCTAACATTTTATGTTCTGCCCTGTGGCCCCTCCTAGCTCTGACATCTGACAATTCCATAATGGAACACCAAGGCTCCATCTGTGCTTGAGGGGGAATTGCCACTTGAGGAGTCTTTTCCTAGAGAGGTGATGGGTCAGGCAGGAGGGGACAAGAGCCCCTGGACCTTCTGACATCCTGGCCTGGGCTTGTGGGGATGTGCCCAGCCTGCTTTGGAGAGGGCATCCAACCATGAGCTCACTTGGCCATCTTGTCTGGGTGTCTTGGAGTGTGTGGTCAGATAGGCCCCTTCAGGCACTGGCCCCTTCCTTCCTTCCTTTCTACCTCTATGCTAGTACCTTCTGTGCCTTGAACTCGACCTCATCTGCCCCTCTCTGTTCCACAGGGTTTCTCGGCCCACTGGTGGAACTTCCGTCACTTCCAGCACCACGCCAAGCCCAACGTCTTCTACAAAGACCCAGATGTGACATTGGCCCCCGTCTTTCTCCTGGGAGAGTCATCAGTGGAGGTATTGACTGAGCACTCCATGCCATCAAGGGCGGTCTTCCAGCCTCTGGAGGGAGAGGGAGGAAGTGAATAGAGTTCAGGTTCTGCAACCCTAGAAGCTTCATCAAGCCTAGACAAAGCCAGTTCAGGGGTGGAGGGGGGACCCTTTTTACTTTGCTCACCAGCTGAAGATTCATTTTCTTAGGGTTGTTGAGAGCAGAGACAAAAGTTTAGGGCTGGGGAGGAGAGATTTTCATCTCACCCAAGGGGCTTCCTTCTGTTATGTCCCTGACCTCAGGCATGGACAGGACTTCTTGACCCCAAACATTGACTAGCCCCTCTGGTCCCAGCCACCATCCAGGCTTCTTAATCCTGGTCATAGACTAGCCTCCCTAAGCCCAGTCATGGACAGGACCCTAATCCCAACCACGCTCAGAACCCCTGATCTAGACCCTAGATCTAGGCCAGACTTCTGATCCCTGTCTGTTAAGAGCACATGAAGGTGAGAGTGTGGATAATGCCACAGCCCCAGCCACGCCGGTAGAAAAATAAGTCTGAAGGCAGATATCGCTTATCTGCTTGTAAAGAAAGGATGGGACGCATGCACTGGAGACAGGCAGCCCTTCATTCTGGCCACCACAGGACCAAAGCAGCTATCACTGGGGGGATTTTATCACCCAAGACTCACAGAAGGGGCTCCCCATGTTCCCAGGCCATTCTTCCCTCCTCACCGAGCTCTCCTTTTTCCTCCTTTTCCTCCAGTATGGCAAGAAGAAGCGGCGGTATCTACCCTACAACCATCAACACCACTATTTCTTCCTAAGTGAGTACTCTGGTTCCTGGGGGCTCCCACACCCACCTGGCTATCTGCCTTCCTAGATCTTAGGGCTTGGGCTATATGAGACTTGGATAAAGGAATAGGTGGCCTACTCAAGTTTGCTGATGACCCCATACTGGAAAGGATAATTAGAACACTGCATGACAGAGTCAATGTCCAAAAGTGGGGTGGGGGGGGTTAAGAGGGGAGAGGGAAGGAAACATGTGCCTCCTATGTGCTGAACACTACAAATGTTATCTCATTTGATCCTCACAACAACCCTGGGAGGGAGGTGCTATTATTATGTTACAATTTTGCATTTTACAGTTAAGGAAACTGAGGCAGGCAGAGATGAAGAGACTTGTTCAATGTCATATAGCTAGAAAATACCTGGAGCAAGATTTGAACTCAGGTCTTCCTAACTCCAGGTCCAGGTCATACAATCAGGCTCAATCTAATAAAACAAAACTTACCAGGATAAATGGAAAGTCTTGTACTTGGGCACAAAAAAAAAAAAAAAAAATCAACCTTACAAGTATAAGATAAGGAAGAATGCTTATACAGCAGTCGTTCTAAAAAAGACCTGGGGGTTTTAGTGGGCCACAAGTGTGAGTCAGCATGAGTCAGCAGTGGAATAGAGCAACCAAGAAAGCTCATAGGATAATCCTGGGCTAGTGATCTAGGAATAAGGGGTGGAGATTGCCTCAATGGACTATGCCCTGGGCAGACCTTATTTGGAGGACTGTTCAGTTCTGGAGACCACAGATTAAGAGGATGTTGATAAACTGGAAGATGACCAGGCTGGTGTAATATTAAAATAGCCTTAGTGACTCCTTTTTGCCTTAATCCACCATTTTGTGAAGTTAAATCTCAAAATCACCCAAGTTTGGAGAAGTCACAAAATTACCCTTCCCTCCACCCCACCAAGAGTCACCCAACTTAAAGAATGTCACAAACTACCCCTTTTCCTTCTCTCCTCAGTCTCCTGATTATCTCCCAATCCCTCTCCAGTCAACTCTCACCTGCCAACCCTCACCTGCACCACATTGTCTCCAGATCTTCTCCTCCAGTAAGAAATCAGGTGTCTTAACCCTTACACCCTGTTTTTCATTCCTTCCAAACTGTATATTAACCGGGTAAAAACCAAAGTTCTAGGTTCTTGGCTGCTTTGTTTTGCAACCACATGCACTGCTAAATAAATTGCTTGTCTGGATGATACTTGGCTTAATTAATTGTAACAATGGGGAAGGGTCTTGAACCCATCAAAATGAGGATCATTCTTCCTATTTAGCCTGGAGAAGTGATTCTGAACCCCTGTAGGTCATCATCAAAACCCCCTCTGCACCCCACCCCATCAGATTCCATATTCTCATCTCCCTCACATCCGTTCCTGAAGTCCCAACCAGATGCCACCCACCTCTTCCATGGTGCCCTCTGGAATACTTGTTCCATAGGCAACAACCTTCCCTTCATCCTAAAACTCTCCTTCTTCCACTCCTTCCGCCTACTAGCTCCTACTGAATCCTGCTCCTCCCCTACCCCTCACCTCCATGATACAGCCCCCCTGGTCACCCTTCTCAGTACTGGCTCCACCTTCCTCCATTCTGCTCAGCTCCCTGGTGGAGACAGGGAGTTAGAATACTCTTTGTTCCCCTCTGTCTCTTCCAGGCTCTCTCCCTGCCTCTGTCACTCAATAGTCTCTTTCTCTTTGAGGTTTATGCTACTTCTCTCTACCATCCAATCAAAGTCCAGGTAGCACTGTGTAAAGACCTCCACGTCCCTCCCTTTCCTTCCTCAATGAGTTTGATACCTGGCTCCCACTTTTCCTCTCCTCCCCAACTGCTGACCTCCTGCTAGGGGACTTCAGCATCCATAGTGACTCTCCCTAAAGGCACCCTAACCATTCAGTTCCTCAACTAGACCCTTCCCAGGAGCTACTTTTCCACCCTACCTTGGGCATGCAGAAAATGGGTATGAACAAGGGCATGATCTTGCCATTCCCCACAAATGGACTTTCTCCATGCTCAAGAATTCGAAAATTCCCCCAAATGACAACAGCCTAGTGCCTTTTCACCTCTCCCTCTTCTTTTCCCTTACAAAATCCTTCCCCTACAAAACTGTTCATCTGCACTGTGACCTCTAATTCCTTGACCGCTTACTTCTCTCCCAGGCCGTGTTCCCTGCACGAACCAATCCAACTTTGCACTAAATTCCTCTCCTGAATCCCTGGTCTCTGTGGCTTATCCCTGATTATGCCCAGCTGAGCCTCAGCCTTGTCTACTTCCACCATCTGCCACCTTCATTCCTACACACACGCTGCTAAATGAAGGTGGAGAAAATGACACACCCATTTGTTCTGGGTCCACCACAAATGGATGTTACTCATCCTTAACTGGGCCCTCACTGCTGCTAGGTAATCCCACTCTACCTGCCTTATCAATCCCCATCTCTGCTGCTGCTCCCTGCCGTGGCTCCCCTTGCCCCAGCTGAGAATCTTGCCTCACAAATTAAAGAAAAACAGCTATCTGCTGCGAGCCCCCCCTTCTTCCCTCTTCCTCATCTATCACTCAGGGCCCTTCTGCCACCTTCTCCTGCTTCGCCCCTGTCTCCCATGATGAGGTGCCCTTACTTCTGAGCACGGTTAACCCTTCTACTTATTAAAGCAAACCTGTTTCATCCTGTCACCTCCACCAGATGGCCACTCTGTTATCTCCTCCTCTTGCCCTGATTTTTAGTCTTTCCCTTTCTAATGGCTTATTTCCTACTACCTCCAAGCATGCCCAGGTCTCCTCGGTCCTTCCGTCCCTACACCTGTCCTGTATCTCTTCTGCCCTTTGTGGCTAGGCCCTTTCAGTCTGACTTATAACCTGATTATTCCAAGGAAATTGCTCTCTCCAAAGTTATTAATGACCTCTTAGTTGCTGAATCCAATGACATTTTCTCAATTCTCGTTCTCCTTGACCTCTCTGTGCCTTTTAAAATTGTAGATCACCCGTCGTTCTGGACATCCTCTTCTCTCTGGATATTCAGGACGCCTCTCTCTCTCTTTTACTCTCTCTCTCTCTCTCTCTGTCTCTCTCTCTGTCTCTCTCTCTGACGGCTCCTCCGCCGTCTCCTTTGCTGGATCCTCCTCCAGAACACACCCTGTAACCACAGGGTCCCTCAGGGTTCAGTCCCAGGCCTTCTTCTCTTCTCCCTCTATACTGCTTCACTTGGGGTTCTCATCAGCTCCCATGGATTTATTTTCTCTGTGCTGATGACTCTTAAATGGACCTCTCCTACCCCAAACTCTCTGCTGACCTCCAATCTCACATCCCCAGTTGCCTTTCAGACATCTCTCTTTTTTTTTTTTTTTGGCTAGGCGATGGGGTTAAGTGACTTGCCCAGGGTCACACAGCTAGTAAGTGTCAAGTATCTGAGGTGGGATATGAACTCAGGTCCTCCTGCCTCCAGGGCTGGTGCTCCATACACTTCGCCACCTAGCTGCCCCTCCTGTTACTTTCAATGAGGCCTCTTCTGCCTTCCCCAAGAGGGGAACTCAATATGGCTTCCTTCCAAATCTACCTGTCTGGGCCTCAGTTTCCTCGTTTGCAAAATGTGGCAGTACTCAATGCCCTCGAAGGGCCTTTCCAGGTCTGGGTCTAGGAGTCCTCACCCCCACCTCAGCCTTTGCTCTAGACACCCCCTGAGCAGCTAAGTCATCTCTCCACAAAGCCCTGGGAGAAGGCTGCTGGGGCCCCTCCCCTGCTGACAGTCCCTGCTCTTCCCCCACAGTTGGGCCACCCCTCCTCACACTGGTGAATTTTGAGGTGGAAAACCTGGCGTATATGCTGGTGTGCATGAGGTGGACGGTGAGTGATGGGGCTGGTGTGGTCCTGGGGGAAGATGGTGAGGGAGGAGGAGGAGACAGTGTGGGAGGAGGATGGTGGAGGGAGCTGTCTTGAAAGGAGTGTGTGTGGTGTGTGTGTGTGTGTGTGTGTGTGTGTGAGAGAGAGAGAGAGAGACAGACAGACAGACAGACAGACAGAGAGAAGGAAGGAGGGAGGGAGAGACACAGAGAGAGAAGAGGGGGTGGGGAGGGAGAGATGGGGAGAGACAGACAGAGATAGAGACAGAAAGAAGGAAGGAGGGAAAGAGACACAGGGAGAGAGGACAGAGGGGGGGAGAGAGAGGGAGAGAGAAACAGAGACAGAGACAGACAGAGAGATAGAGACACAGAGAAGGAGGGAGACAGAGATGAGAGGGAGAGAGAGACAGAGAGAGGAGGGAGTGAGAGACAGACAGACAGAGACGGACAGACAGAGACAGAGAGAAGGAGGGAGGGAGACACACACACACACACACACACACACACACACAGGCAGACAGACAGAAGTGACAGAGATAGCCGGAGAGACAGAGGTAGAGAGGTGATAGAAACAGAGATAGAGACAGAGACAGTCAGACTGAGAGGTGACAGGGACAGAGGTAGAAGGAACCAGACAGAGGCGGCCAGAGAATGCTCCAGGGAACTAGGGAGAAAACAGGTGAATCCAGCCAAGCCCTGTGAGCCTGGGGGTTTTGGAGTTGAACATAATGGAAATTGGAAAGAATGACCCCCCGCCCCAGCTTCCTCCCCTCCCTCCTCCTTGGTGTCATTGGGTGCCTGTTCCACACCTGGTCCCGAGCTCTCCCCCAGAGTGGGATGGAAGGGGAGGAGAAGACCCAGGGCAGGGCACCGAAGGTCCCCATCACCTCCCTGGCTCCCTAGGACCTGCTGTGGGCCATCAGTTTCTACGTGCGATTCTTCACGTCCTACATGCCCTTCTACGGCGTCCCAGGAACCCTGTTCTTCTTCGTCTCAGTCAGGTAGGTCCGGGACTGGCAGCTGCTGTGCTGGTTTCACACCTTCATTCACAGTCATTCATTCATTCAGTCATTCATTCATTCAGTCAGTCAATGGATTTAATAAAAAGTCCCTGCCCTCAGGGCTCTCACAGTTGAATGGGGGAACCAAAGCGCACTAAGAGGTCCATACGGGTTATACACAGGGTAAATGGGAGATAATCCCAAAAAGCTCTAGCAGTAGTGGTCAGGGGGCCAGAAGGTGGGGTCTAAGCCTCCAACCCAGAGATGGGGTGAGGATGGGGACAGAATGGGCAAAGGCATAGTCAGAGATGGGGTATCGTGTTCAAAGAACCACAGATAGGCCAGGGTGGATGCTTCTTGGAGAGGAGAAAGGGGGAAAAGACTGGAAAGGTAGGAAGGGGCCAGGCTAGAAAAGGAGAACGTTGTTGGATCCTGGAGGTAATAGGGAGCCCCAGGTGGTTACTGAGCAGGAGAAGGACATGATCACATATGTGAGCGAGAAAAGTCCCTTTGGCATTCTCACACCCCTCTGGTCCTGCCTCTGGCCCAACTGCCCCGAGGTCTCTATCCTGATGCCACCTTACCAAAGCCCAGCCTTCCTTTCTTTCCTAATAACAAGGACAGCTGACATTTCCAGAGGTTTACAAAGCTGTTCCCCACATCAACCAGCCCTATGAGGCAGGTTGTTCAGGCACTCCTGTTCCCATTTTATAGATGAAGAAACTGAGGCTTAATGAGAAGAAATATTAAGCGGCAGAGCTGGGATTGGAATCTGCTTCTTTTGGTTCCCACTCCAAGGTTCCTTCTCCTACAGTCCAAAGACCGTGGAATCTAGAGTCTGGGGATCTGGGTTCAAATCCTGCCTCTAGAGCCATTCCCTGTGTGACCTTGGGCAAGTCACTGAACTTCCTGGGCCTCATTTCCCTCACTTGTAAAACGATGGGAGTGGATTCAGCAGCTTGGGAGGCCCCTCCCAGCTGGCCGCATGTGATCTGATCTAGAGCCGAGTGACCTGAGAGGTCATTGTGTCCAATGCCCTCATTGTGTGTCTGGTCACACACTCACCAAGTGCTAGTGCACTTTGCCTGCTTCTTACTCCATCGTGCCTCTCCTAGGTGGCACTCTGGGGTGTCCCCAGGCATGGGCTCCCTTTGAAGGCTGTTGGACCACAGGATCACTGGCACCACTTAGGAACTAGACGAGTTTCTGCCAGTGGGCACTGCCCTCTGCCGCCCCCTACCCTCCTTACTCAGCACGGCTCCCCCAGGACAGCCCCGAGCAGGGCTCTTGGGGCATCCCCAGAGAACCTGGCAGGCAGGGCCCATTTCACTTCCTCTCCAGGGTCCTGGAGAGCCACTGGTTTGTGTGGATCACCCAGATGAATCACATTCCCAAGGACATTGGCAGCGAGAAACACAGAGATTGGGTCAGCGCCCAGGTGAGAACATCAGGGTGGTATGAAGGGAAGGCTGGGGCCTGGGAGAGCAGGAAGGAAGGTGAGTGGTCAGGGCACCCTTGACTTCTGGGAGGCATCCACTTCTGGGGACACCTTACCGACAGAAAGTCCCCTCAGAGAAGCCATCCCTGGGAAGGGGTTGGAGGGACTGAGGGCTGGTGGGGAAAACTCCCATGGCAGGCACCCCCGTTCACATTTCTGTAGCACTGAGGACCTTACAGATGTGAAGAGCCCTCACATTAAACCTAAAACTTTTGTTAAAGCTGGGTCTTTATTAAAAGTAACACTGTTGCAGGGCTTGCACAGATAGATAAATATACACACATATAAGATGTGTATTAATTATGTAATTATGTAATTATGTAATATATGTAATTATGCATATTTATGTTATGACTTGTCCAGCGTCACTCAGCTAATAATTAAGTGTCTAATATAAATGGATATCCGTAGGCTATGTCTGATATAGCTGGCTATGAATTTGGGTCTTCCTGATTCTAGATCCAGAGTGCCATCCACGGCGCCACCTAGTGGCCTTCATAAAACAATTTGCTTGAAAGTATTATTGTCCCCATTTTACAGACGAGGAAACTGAGGCCGAGAGTGAGGCGGTCACTTAGCCAGGAAGTAAGAGGCAGGGCCAGCATTGGAACCCAGACCCCAAGCCTCCCAACTTGGGACTTGCCTTACCCTGCCCAGCAATGCCCCCATCAGTCCAGTGCCTGGGGCCTGGGGGAGTGCCTGACTGACCTTCCCAATCCTGGTCTCTTTCCCACAGCTGACAGCCACTTGTAACGTGAGGCAATCCCGCTTTCTTGATTGGTTCAGCGGCCATCTCAACTTCCAGATTGAACATCAGTGAGTTGGGGTGTGAGCTGGGGAGGGAGTTGGGGGTGCAGATAAAAAGGAAACCATGCTTTACAGCCCTGGGGAAAGTGACCGGTCTGGAGTCCAGACACCTGGGTTCAAGTCACTTTCTGCCTGCTGGGACACAGGAGTAGATGGAGGACTGATGGGAAATGAGGGCAGGTAGGCTGAGGTCGGAGGTCCCAGCTCCTCAGAGGCCACCTAGCCCGACCTCCTCATTTTACAGATGAAGAAAAGAGGTCCAGGGAGGTTCCCAGTGACTTGCCCCCTCGGCCCCCTCAGTCCACAGGGCTTGGAGTCCCTGCCCCGTGCTGCCTCCCAAGTCCTCCTCTCTCCTCCCGGTTTTTTCCAGCCTCTTTCCCACGATGCCTCGGCACAATTACCACAAGGTTGCTCCCCTGGTGAAGTCTCTCTGTGCCAAACATGGGCTCAACTACGAGGTGAAGCCTTTCCTGAAAGCCCTGACCGACATTGTCGGGTAACATGCCTACTGTGTGCAGAGCACTCAGCTGGGGAGTGGGAAGACGTGGAGTGGAGACCAGACTGTGTACCTTCTTGTCTAGTTTGGCGCTGGGGGCCTTCTCTCTTGGCCCCGCCCTCAGGAGGGTCTGTAGGGCCCACAAACGAGCTTTAATGCCTGCCTGTTCTTGGTCCTGGGTTTGTGGGGTGACGGGACAGCTGCATCTGAAGGGCTGTCATATGGGTGGGGTTCTAGACTTGTTCTTTTAGCCCCCAGGGAGAGACCTAGGAGCAGTATGTAGGGGGGTCTGGAAGCGTTGTCTGACCCATTAGAGCCACCTAGAAGTGAGATGGGCTGCCTTGTAAAGGTTCAGAGAAGCCGAGTTGGGAGGGATCTTAGAACACAGAGGAGCATCAGAGGTGGAGCTTAGAAAACAAGGTCAGAGATGAAAGGGAGATCATAAAGTAGAAAGTCAGAGCTGGGAGGGAGCTTAACACATGGGATGGCACAGCTGGGAAGGGCCTTAGAACAGAGAATGTCAGAGCTGGGAGGGGCCTTAGAATAGGGAACATTAGAACTGGAAGGGAGCTTAGAAGAGAAGATGTCAGAGCTGGGAGGGCCTTAGAACAGAGAATGACAGAGCTGGGAGGGGCCTTAGAACAGAGAATACCAGGGACAAGAGGGACTTTAGAGCAGGGAACATCAGAGTTAGGAACGGCATTTAAGACACTCATTTTACAGAGGAAGAACCCTAAGTCTCATCTACGGTTCCGTAACTGGCTGGAAGGGCTTGAGTTAGAACCCAAATGTCCTGACTTCTAGTCTCTTGCTTTCTTTATGAGTCTGTATTACTCAGGTCAAGGTCCGTGGGCCACTGGGGACTGGTCAGCTGTTCTTTGTCCCAGGGCCACCCCCATTTCTGACCAGCTTTTCCCAAAGACCCTGGGGAAGGGGAGGTCTCCAAGCATGTCTCCCCCAACATCACCCTCTGCTGGTAAAAATGTCCCTTCCCTTTCCACAGGTCCCTGAAGAAGTCTGGTGATGCTTGGTTGGAGGCTTACCTCCATGAGTGAAGCTGCCTAGGCAGAGAAAGCCCAGGGCAACCTTGCCACCTTATGCCCTAGGAGGTGGGCATCCAGCCCCACCTGCACAGGGAGGCTGCTGCCTCCCTCGGTGCAGGCCAAGCCCGAACCCCTTGCATCATCCCAACTCTCAGCCTCACACTTGACGACTGATTTGGGGGGGAGTTGGGGAGGGGAGTGAGCCCTTTGAAGAAGGCATCTCTACCAAGCTCAGCCCTGTACAACCGGGCCCCAGCTGTTCCCCCAGGGCTGGCACAGCCTCTCCTCTGGGTCTTTTCTGGCCCCGCAGCCCCAGGCCCCACCTGGACAGATCCCAGGGGACTTGCCCAGGGAGCGTGGGCTCAGGCCAGACCCCGCTGCAGAGGAGGAAGCTGCCGACGTGCTTCTTGGATCTGTTCTCCGCCTCTGCCCGTGATCCCTGCCGGGCTCCAGCTCCTGCCTGGTTTGTGAGCACTGTAGGTTAATGATTAAAAACACACCGATAAGCTGGACACAGTTTTGGTCCCTTGTGCATTGAGTGAGTCTTTTCTGGCCTCAGTTTCATTGTCTGTAAAGGGGGAAAGCTCTGGCTGTGGAGTCAGGGAGTGTGCATGCAGGTGTGTATGTGCATGCATGTGTGTATGAATGTGTGCGTGCGTGTGTGTGTGCATGTGTAGATTTCTTGTTTCCCCTTCCCCACTGCCCACTCCCAGTTATGTTCCTAATACTTCTGCTATTCTATACTTTCAAGTTAAAGGATCATAGGTCTAGAGTTAGAAGAAATCTCATAAACCTCATTTTACAATTGAAGAAACTGAGGCTCAGTTTGCTCAAAGTCACCCAGGAAGTTAGAGTTAGAGGCAGAACTAGAATTCAGGGCCTCTGACTGCTGTGCCAGGCTTCCTTCCCCACCCCCACCCCCCCAGAACACTCATGGGCATGGGTGGGGAGGCTGAGCCGGGCCTCACCTGCCAGCACTGGTTCAAAGAGGAAAGTAAAGTGTGATATGAGGCCTGGGCTGCCCCAGCATCCTCTGGGGGCAAGGGTGTGCACTGGCCCCCTGTTCTGTAGTTCTATGATCTCTGAAGTGCCAGGTTGGTCATGAGGTGCCCCTTCTTTCTTCCCTCCCTGACCTGGGGACCCACCTGGCTCTCGGTTGTCAGGGGACCCCTGAGGGATCAGCTGGCCAGGTCCTGGGTCCTCCCATCCCGGGGCTCTCTGCATTTTAACCAGGGATTTTGGAAGGTTGAAAAGTCCTTCAGAGCCCACAGGAGATGAATTCCTAATGGTGGGGTCTCAGGCACTGGGAAGGAAGTGAGTAGGGTTGGGTGGAGGCTAGCCTGGTGCTAGTCAGAACCCACAGATTTTGGACCAAAGCATAGACTAGAGCATCATTGCTACAGGACCCAGGGTGCAAGTAAGTGCCATTAGTCTGATAAAGACCAGAGTGACTTTGTCTGACGCCGAACGTCCCCTCTAGAGGGAGACAAAGAGACGCAGAAAGAAACAGCGCAGAGGCAGAGGCAAGAAAAGCCAACAATGGTCTCCCCTTGACTTTCCCCACTCTGACCCTTTGCCCAGGCGGTGCCCTACTCCTGGCATGCACTCCGTCCCCCATCTCCACCAAATGGAAACCCCTCACATCCTTCAAGGCTCAACTTATGGGCCACAACCTGCAAGAAGTCTGCCCCGCTTCCCTGGTTTCTTCAGCCCCCTCCCAATGACTCTGTATTTACTTATCTGTGCAGGTGTTGTTTCCTGCTGATTCTAGGATGTAAGCTCCTGGGGGGCAGGGATTGTTTTCATTTTTGACTCGGTATTTCTGATGCCACGCTCAGTCTGTATTGGGTGCTTGCTGAATGGATGGATGGATGGATGGATGGATGGATGGATGGATGGAACAGAGAAGAAAAGGCAGAAACACAAATTATAGAAAGAGCCCTGGACTGGATGGATCAGGAAATCTAGATGGCTGAAAGATAACGAAGTAGAGCAGAAGAGAAAGTGAGATGGAGCTTGGACGAGTGGGTAGGAGTTTCTGGAACCGGCAAAGGAGGAAGGTGGGCGGGGAGAGGAGATCGGCTCCTTGGGGAGGGAGAATTGGCCGAGCATGGTGTAGTTAGTATCCCAAGCCCGCTGCCTGCCATAACCAAGCTTTTATTAAACATCTACTATGTGCTATGTCCCATGCTGGACAGTGGCGACACAGAGACCCCAAAAAGTAAACAATTCTATCTCAAAGAGCCCACATTCTGTTGGGGGAGAAGCCATGGACACACACACATATAAAAGGAATATATGCAGAATACAAGGTAGAGGGGGAGGGCATTAGCACTTGGGGGCATCAGGAAAAGCTTCTTTTAGCAGGAGAGACCAGTGACAACCTCAGGTGGGGACTCCTCATGTTGGCCTCATCCCCAGAGAGGACAGGGACCCTGGCACCAGACCCTGGGCAGCTGAGCCCAGCCTGCCTCTTGCCATACCCTGGCAGCCCCTGCCATGAACTGGTTTTCCAGATGGGCTGAGAGTTCCCAAGAATACACCTGCTGCCAGAGTGCGCCGTCCCACGACCAGCCTGCCCTTCCTTCCCTCGCCAGTTTTCCTGGTCCTGATGGGGCTCCCTGCACTGGGGAAGCAGCGCCTGAGCTCCCACATCCTCCCTGGCATGAAAGCTCTTTGGGCATAGACCCTGCCCCCTTACCAGGCTGTGAGATCCTCCAGACCAGGGACATTTTTAAGGAGTTCTGAGTTCTAGGATAGGTGCTGCCTCTAACTTGCTATCACACCAGATTTGGCCACCTCATTCCTTCAGGAAGAGCCTTGATTTCTCCTTCTGGGAAATATAAGGGGTTGGACTAGAAATCAAAAGCCCATCTCTTCGTGCCCACTCAGGTGTTCCCTGTTCTAGGTTCCCTCCAGGTTCTTCCCAATTCTGGCTTTCCCTGTTTTAAGGTCCAGCCGAGCGCTGACGTTCTTGTCCTTTTTAGCTCTGACATTTTCAGTTCTAAGGTCTTCTGACTGATACTCCCTGTTCTAAGCCCCCTACCAGATGACATTCTCTGTTCGAAGGTCCATCCCAGCCCTGACATTGGGTTCTGGGTTCTAAGGTTCCTCTACGTCCTGGCGCCCCAGCATTGGAGACAAAGATAAGAAACTCTTAAGATCATTCCTGCCCATGTAGAACGTGGCTCCAAGTGGTATTTCATGGACCTCTAGCGGGGGAAAGGACCTTACAGATGGGCTGGCCCAAGCCCTTTGTTTTCACAGAGGTAGATATCGAGGCAAAGAGAGCTCGGCACCATTTCCAGGGCCGCGTCTTGCCCCAGGCTATTTGGTAGCTGAGGAGCGGCAGCCTGCCCTGGGGCTGAGAGCTGGAAGAAGTCTTCTCCTGCCTGGACTTGACCCTTGCAGCCCCGCGCTGAGACCGATGGAGCCCGTGGGGGCCCCAGGCACGAGGTCTGCACTGATGGGGCCTTGGCGATGCTCCAGCACTCAGACTCCTGGGTATCTGCCCGGTGGGGCAATCCCCTTCTGAATGAAGCCTGGATTGAGCCAAGGCAGAGCCCTCACCGGGCATTCAGGCAGCAGGGACAGAGCGAGCCAGGGGAAGGGATGGGCCCTGTGTGCCACGGCAGGGCCCCTCCTGTGTGGGTGGTTGGGTCAGGGGAGTTGAAGCTGAGAGCCTGGGAGGCCAGGCCCCTTGCAAGGAGCTGCGGTAGAAAAGTTACAATTCAGGTGCTCAGCTTACTGAGGAGGGGGGAGAGTGCAGCGGGATCCACTGACGGCAGTGATGAGGTGTGGGCAGGATGGAACATGAAAAGGAGGGCAGAGGGAGGCGCGAGGGAGGGCAAGGAGCCCTGTGTGTCAGGGGACAGGACAGGAGAAGCAGCCAGCCTCGGAGTGGGGAGCACCAGAGAGGTAGGCTTGGAGGGAGGAAGGACCTGGGAGGCCACCTGATCTAAGCTCCTCCTTTTACAGCAGAGGAAGCTGAGGCTGGAGAGTTCTGAAGTGACTTGTCCAAGGCCAAGGCACTAAGCAGGCAGAGTTGGGAATTAGGCCCCGGCCCTCTCCCTACTTCCCAACCTAAGCTCTTTTCCCGGGGACAAGAAGCTCAGAACATTCCTGGTGCTGGACGCTGAGCCCCTTCCCGGCTCATCACAGGCTGACCGCCTTCCCACACGCGGCCAGGCAGCCCAGCCAGCCCCCAGCCGCAGGCCAGGAAGCCGTTTCAGGACATTCCGTATTCCCCTGTGTGGGCCTGGAGCACCCCCAGGCCATGGCTCCAGTGGCCTGCCCGATTCCCAGAGGTTACACACCACCACCAGACCTGGGCTTAACACAAAAGGTTGATTTTTATTGAGGAACAAGAATACCAGAATAAAATGGGCCTTTCATTCATTCCCAAAGCATTGCGGGGGGGGGGGGGGGGGGGGGGGGGGGAGAAAAAAAAAGCCTGGTTCTTGTCCCCGACGGCGCCCGCGGGGGGGGGGGGGGGGGGAAAGGGCTGGAGGAGGGGGGTAGGGGGTCAGGAAAGGTCCCTCCAAACATGAAGAACATTCAGTTCAGAACTACCACCAGAGACGAAGAGCCAGCCCCAACAGAGAAGCACCAGGATGGCTGGCTAGGAGACGGCGGGCTAGGAGATGGGGCTTTCTCCTGCCCACCACCCCCCACCCCAGGCTGCCACACACTGCGGACCTAAAACGCCACCTTCCCATTCCCTGGGAATAACTAATCTGTTAGCAGGTTAGAGACCTGGCTGTGGAGTATGGTGATGCCAGGCCCTCCTCCCGCCCCCTGAGCTCCCGCCTGGACCCTTAGCTGCATCTTCCCTTCCCCAACCCTCACCTTCTCAGACCTGTCCTTCTCCAGGGCAAACTCCTTCCCTCACTTTCTCCTTCCCAACCTTTAATCATTTCTCGGGTTCCTTCCCTTCTCCTCCTCCAAACCTCCGGGTCACTCAGGGCCCTCTGCCGATCTAAGACTCAAGGCTCACGTCCACATTGCCATCTCCAACCAGACTGCCCCCTCCAGCGGGCTCAGGGACATTGGGGGTGCGGGAGTAGGGCAGTGCTGGACAAGGATGATTTTCCTGGGAGCCCCAAGGACCCCTCCATTGACAACAGCATACATTCTAATCCAGTTAAGACTTTTAAAGGGAGTGCTGTGGACAGTGAATACTTCTAACCACCATCCCACACCTTTGGAATGGGGGGTCATGGGGATGTGACCAGTCTAAATCTAGTTCTTGCACTCAACCTGAAAACAGTTATCAGTGCAGATGAGTAGAGGATAAAGAGCCCTCAGTGGTCCCACAAGATAGAAGCTGGTGAATCTCACACATCCTGCTCTAGGGGTAGCAAGCAGAATCGGGCATTTCTAAGGCTGAGAAGGGGAGCTATTGTAGGATTGGCCAAATCCTGCCCAGTGGGGGAGGGGAAGAAGGGGGGACAGAGAATCCCTCGGCAAGCATCACTCCTTACCCTTATTGGGGCTTCCTCAAAATCCAAAGCTAGAAGCCGTCCATCCCCACCGCCCAAAGCTTCATCTTCCCCCTGAGTTTCATCTGAGAGGGACTGGCCCCAGAGCCAAAGATGTCCTTTCCTGGGGCTCCTCTGAGCTGCCCGGTTTAACACTAAGCAAAACGAGAGCTCTCCCAGGACCAAGAAGGCTGTGGTCTAGGAAGGGCAGACACCAAGGCTGGAAAGAGGGCCCACGAGAGGAGACAGATCCTGCTGGTGTTTGTAGAGGTCCTGGACACTGGACACCAGCAATCCAGTCCACTCCCCTCATTTTACAGAGAGGGGAAAGTGAGGCCCCAAAAGAAGTCTGAAAAGCCCCCATTGGCAGTGGTCCTGGATGTACAAGGGTGGCCCGAGGGATAATCTAACCACTGCCCAGCCCTATGACAGGATCAGAGGGAATGTTTGTCCTCTGGACTCCCTGCTGTGAAGAAGCCCCTCCCAGCGTCAGGGTCAAAGAAGGAGATCGTGGAGAATTTCCTTCCAAAATCTTAAGGCCACTGTGATGTGTGCCTGAGAGAGGTGGCCTGAGGCCAAAAGTTGTTCCTCCAAAGAGAAGGCAGCTCGGTCTAGTAGAAATAGCAACAGATTTGGGGCCAGACAACACGGGTTGGACGCTCTGCTGCACGCCTCACTACCTGCAGGATCTCAGGCGAGCCTTTCTGAGTCTCAGTTTCCCCGTCTGGAAAAGGAGGCGAGTGTGGACTCTCTAATCCCTACGGTCACCCTCCCCCTCTGGTCTCCTAAATCGATGTTCCCACAATCAGGTACTGAGCCCTAACGCTGTGCTGGGGGTGCCAAGCACGGGGGTGGGGGCAGGTGAACCCCTCTGACTTCCAGGCTGGGACGCGCCTGAAGGGAAGGCAGAAAACCCTCCAGAGACATTCAAAGAAGGCAGGATGGACGGCTGCCTCAGTTGCCCATTTGTTCTGGGCAGTCTCTGGTCCCAGCGACAGTCTCAAAAGGCAACCTGAGAGAAGGGCCCTAGGACTAACGAATTGGGGCCAGGGGATGCTGGGTAGCTCCGTGCAGGGGTATGTCCGCGGAGTTTTAACTTTTGGACCCGCTCCGAGCCAGGGCCGCTCTCGGGAGGAAAGGCGGTACCAGGTGTTTCTAATCTGAAACCAGGCTGAGCTGGTCACAGGATCACAGGGTTTTTCCCCTCACTCGACAGAAGAAAACGAAGCCCAAACTGCTTTGTCAATGTCGTACGGTAGTGAGTCACTGAGCCGGGATCTGAACCCGGGTCTCCTGATACCGCATCTGGTGTTCTTCCAGCCACTCCAGGCTGATCCTCTGAGGCAGGCCTCCAAAGGCTCTGGGCCTCAGAACCACCCACATTTCTGGACAAATCAGCAGGCAGTTTGTAAGCCGCCCAGGCTCGGTGTGAAACGGCCAGTGGGGCTGAGGGCTGAGGGTCTCTCCCGGCTAGGCAGGCCCCAAGGAGCAGGTCTGAGCTCTAGTGATTATCACAGCCTCCCAGGGGGTGCAGAGAGGGTCGGGCCAAGGCCCAGAGGCTAGGCCAGCAGCTGGCAGAGGCCTGCCACCCTGACGACAGGCAGGGGCATGGGGGGAACCGGTGACTGAGGACAACACGCACCAGCTCCGTCTTTCCCTCGGGAAAGAGAGAGCTGGGAGTCGCAGCAGGGTGAAGAAGGAGGGCAGCCTGACCTGTGAAGGCCAGAAGCAGAAGCCAGGCTTGGAATGTGATGAGGGAGATCAACATTTAGGCTTGGATCCTAGAGACTCCAACACCCCAAGGGCCCACCATGTGTCCCGACCGCTACACCCCCATCCCCTGAAAAGAACCGAGTCAGATCAGATGGCAGGAAACTGGAGAAGGGGATTGTGCTCTGGGGGGAAGGGGGCGTGAGAGAGAGAGAGACAGAGAGACAGAGAGAGAGAGACAGACAGACAGAGAGAGACAGAGAGAGAGACAGAGACAGACAGAGAGACAGAGAGAGAGAGAGACAGACAGAGACAGAGAGAGACAGAGACAGAGACAGAGAGAGAGAGAGAGACAGAGAGAGACACAGACAGAGAGAGACAGAGAGACAGAAAGAGAGACAGACAGAGACAGACAGAGAGAGAGACAGAGAGAGGGAGACAGAGAGACAGAGAGAGAGACAGAGAGAGAGACACAGACAGAGACAGAGAGAGAGAGAGAGACAGTGAGAGACAGAGAGAGGCAGAGACAGCGGAGAGGAGGGAGGCGGAGAGACAAGACAGAAGGAGTGTCGAAGGGGGCCCCCGCGGAGGCTTCCTGAAGTGGCCCTGCGCCCTCTTGGAGGAGCCTGGTTCCCCCTAACCCAGACGTGCTGCTCAGTCCCTGCCTCCCTTCCCCACAGGTCCCTAAGGGGGGTGGGCTTCATTTGTGGAGGTAAGCATCCAACCAGAGGTCTCCTGACTTCTTCAAGGACCTGTGGAGAGGAAGAGGAGGCTCTTAGGGTCATGGACGTCAGGAAACTTGGAGGGCATCTAGTCCAATGTTTTCATGTCCCAGATGGGGAAACCGAGGCCCAGGGTGGGCAGCATGGGGTGTGCCCTGGGTTTGAGTCCCAGCTCTGGTCCCAATGAGCTGTGTGACCTTGGGAAAGCCCCTCACCTCGATGGGCCTCATTTTCCCCATCTGTAAAGTGTGGGAGTTGGGCCACACGTGTAGGTCACTGAAGCGTCTGAGGCCCTCGATTCCCTGGTGAAGGGTCAGGATTAGAATCCAGGTCTTCCTGGCTGCCTAGCCCTTCATTCCCAGACAGAACAGCCTCCTCTCCCCACCCTCTCACGACCCCGAGGTTCTGGCCACGGACCCAGATCTCCATGAGGTGCTCCCCCTCCCCCCTCCCCGGGCAGTCCCGCCCCACCTGCCAGCCCTTACCCCACGATGTCCAGGAGGGCTCTCATGAGGGGCTTCTCTTGGTAAAGGATGCCATGCTTTGCACACAGAGACTTCACCAGGGGGGCGACCTTGTGGTAATTGTGACGTGGCATGGTGGGGAAGAGACTGGGGCAGGGGCAGGGAAAGAGGAGGTGAGCAAGGCCTAGAGGGAGACCATCTGGGCCCAGCCCTTCCCTCTGCAGATGAAGAAACTGATGATCAGAGAGGACCAGCGAGGAACTCAGCCACCTAGCCAGTCTATGGTAGGGTGGGAACCTGAACCCGGATCCTCTGCTTCCCCGCTCAGCGGAGCTCCTGGCTGGGAAGGACATGGGCAAAGAGAAGTCCCAGCGAAGGGGCTCCCCTCCACCCGTGCAGACCAGCATCTGCTCTGCATTGGATCATCTTAGAAAGGGACCTGGAACATCGAGCGGGGAAGTGACTTGCCCAGGATCGCACAGTCAGAATGTGTATCAGGGGCAAGATCTGAACCCAGGGCTTTCTGCCTCCAAGACTGGTTCTCTATCCGAGGCCACCGCTGCCTCTCAACGGTGCAACGGCAGCTTCCCTGTGTCCATGACGGGGCCAGGGCTGAGGATGAACGCGCCGTGGCACATTTAAGTGTCCGCCACGTGCCAGGCGTGGTGTCAGGGACGCGGACCAAGTGCCTTTGCATTGGCAGGGCCCTCCTCCTCCTCTTCGATCTCGGGCTTGCCCCTCCCCAGACGTCCGGCCACCACCACCCCACGCCCTCCCCGGCCTGCGCCCGGACTCACTGATGCTCAATCTGGAAGTTGAGGTGGCCGCTGAACCAGTCGTTGAAGAAGGACTGTTCCACGTTGCAGGTGGCTGAGAGCTGCCAGGGAGAGGGAGGATTGGAGACGAGGAAGGAGCCGATATCTTGGGGGCAGCCTGGCTCCTTGGGCCGGGTTGGGGATCGCCCACCTTCATCCATCCCATCAACCCCAGCGTCAAAGCTGGAAGGGACCCACAAGGCGGCCCCTCAATGGCGCCCCCAACAAATCGCCATCCAAGCATGGCTGGAAGACCCCTGGGACAGGGAACTCACTACCTCCAGAGAGAATGAAGAAATTTCCCCTTGGGTCAGTCTAAATCTGTCTCTTTGTCACTTGTCATCACTACATCCAGTTCTGCCTTGGGTGACCAAGAGAAGGAAGCTAATCCCTTTTCCCCAAGACAGCACTTTATGATTACTATGTACCTCATAAATAATCCACCTAACAAATAATATCGTTATTAACTCCCTCACGCCCCACCCGACTCCTTTCTTCCAGTTAAGAGGAGAATATCCTGTGTTCCTCCCAGCCATCCCGGTGGCGGTGGCGTGCCCCGGTCCAGTTTCCCCACCACCCTGGGTGGTCTGCTCTCCCTGAAGCCGAACCTCTATCCCAGATTCTATTGCTCCACCCACAAGGCATATAGAGCCCCCATCGGTGGAGCTCCATTCATTTCCTCAGTAGACCCAGCTAAGGAAAACTTGAGTCGATAGGTTCAAGTTGTCATCGGCCAGATGTCATCTCATTCCTCGTGAGCTCACATCCCCCAATGATGAAAGGGAAGACAACCCCTGATCCTCTTCCCACCTCCCCCCGGCACAGCCCTCACCTGGCTACTGAGCCAGTCTTGGTATTTCTCCCGATCGATGTTCATAGGAATATGATTCATCTGTGTGACCCACACAAACCAGTGGCTCTCCAGGAACCTGGGAGAGAACACCAGGACAGCCCTGAGCGTCTGCACACACCCAGGGTCCCCTGGAGCTTCTAAAGGCCTGACAACCTGGGCACGAAGGAGGGCAGTGCCTCCATTACTCCCTGGGGCCGCCCACCTCATGCCAGGAGAGCAATGGAAGGTCAGTGTCCCAGTGGCGACCAGCAGGAGGGTCTGCTGGAGCGCCTGGAGGTCTCGGCCAGTAGATGTTTCACCACGTGGCTCTATGCCCCAAGTAGGCACGGTGACAAGCAGGCAATGGGCATCTGGGCATGGTCTACATTGTCAGGGGGAGCAGCAAGGCTGAGACCACGGCGTAGCACTTTTTAATCTGGACGTGTTGCCTTGACGCTGGCCTGAACTCCCTGCACACTGCTTGGTCAAGGGTCTGTGATACTAGGGCAGTCTTCGCTCCCTCCAAGAGCCAAGGGGAGGGGACCCCTGAGCTCTCCTGTGAGGCTCTGAGGCCTTTAAAATGACCCTTGGGCCGGGGGGGCGGGTAGTCGAAACAAGCTTTGGCCCTTGTCCCCAAGGATGAATTGGCACAGCCTGGCTACCTGATAAAGTTGAGGAAACAGAGGGATCCCAGGACTCCATAGAAAGGGATGTAGGTGATGAAGAACCGCGTGTAGTAACTGATGGCCCAGGCCAAATCCTAGGGAGAGAGACAAGAGCTTAGACACTAGGCCTCACACTGCTGGATGCTCTGTGGCCCCCACAGTGTGTGTGTGAGTGTGTGTGTGTGCATGTGTGCACACGCGTATGTGTGCATGTGTGTGTACACGCATGTGCACATGTGTGTGCCTGCGCGTGTGAGTGAGCGTGCATGTGTGTGTGTGTGAGCATGCATGCATGTGTGTGTGTGCGCGCGCGCATGCGCACAGAGGATCAGAGGCCAGAGCCAAAAGGACCCCCAGAGGCCTCCTCGTTTTATGCAGGGGAGGGCGAGAGGGAGACTGGAGCCAGGAGACTTGCCCAAGAGTCCGTCAGTGGCCAAGGGAGGATTAGAACTCAGGTCCCTTGCCTCCAAGGCCAACGCTCCTTCCTGCCTGCCTGTGGCAGAAAGCTCCACAGAGGCGGGAGTGCAGAAAGAGCCACGTGTGTTCAGGCATGCCGACGTGTCGCAGGCTCCTTTTTATTAAGGGAGGGAGTCCACAGAGTGTGAGGGTGGGGCACTGGGTTCTGGAAGCCCGCCCTGCTGGACCCACCCTCCTTGATCTCATCCCTCCTCGGCCCTGGGGGCGTCAGTCCTGGCCCCAGCACCAGGGGCTCCTTCCCTGCCCCCTAGCTTACCTTAAGCCACACAGCCTTGACTTTGGGGCCCTTCCCCTTTATTTCACTAGCCAAGGGAACTCCCAGATGAGGAGACTCCCTCCAGTAATACAGAGGGGCAGCTTGTCGATGCCTCAGGGGTCTTAAGAGAGCTGCCTGAGTCACTGAGAGGTAAAGGACGGGTCAGAGGTCAGCTGCCCTGTTGACCCCATGCCGGCCCCGCAAAGGAGACCGCAGGACTGAACAGAGGTGGACCCAAAGAAGGATGGATTCCCTTGGGAATTTGCAACAATGCCAGAGGCAAAGGTGCTGGGTGTAGGGTCAGAGGGCCGGGGTTCGAATCCTGGCTTGGCCCTTAACAACCTGTGTGAATTTGCGTGACTCCCTCGACCTCCCCGGAGCTCAGTTTCCTGAATGGGGGGCTAGGACGAGAAGCCTTTAAGGTTCCGCCTCCCAGCTGTACATGTGAGCCCAAGGCCAATCACCTCCCACCCCCGTAGGAGCCGAGTAACTCAGAGACCGGACGTCCAGCTCACTACCTGCACTGGCCTCTGCCCTGGGCTCCCCCCGGGTCTCCCCAAAGGCCTGGCACCCAGTGCCACCCCCCGGATCTGGGGTCACGTGACTCACCACCCAGTCTTTGCGCACAATCATGGTCATGATGATCTGGAACTGGAAGTACATTGGGATGAGTAATGGTGGCCCGACTGTGGGAGGAAGAGAGGAGATGTTGAGAAGGAGCGGGGGCTGGGAGGGCAGGGGCGTGGCCCCCAGCCCCTTCTGTGTGCCCTACGGCTCGGTCATGCACCCTGGGGCTGCGGGGAGGGGGCTGGGGTGACTTCGCTGACCGTGGCCGTTATTATATCACGCTGAGGGCACGTGGGAGTCATGGTGGAGAGGACCCCACGATGGCTTAGGAGGTGAGAGGCCGGAGCCTGCTACAGCTCGGCCCCGAACCACCCGAGTGACCACGGACATAGCTGTCCTCTCTCTGGGCCTCAGTTTCCTCATCCATAAAAGAAGTGAGCAGGCCGCACAGCTTGGTGGGAAGCGTATTGAACGTGGGGCCCGAGCTCAGCTGTGGGGTCATTGGCAGGTCACTGAACCTCTGTGGGACTCAGTTTCCTCATCCACAAAACGAGTGAGTTCATAGGTTGGTATGGCGAGAAGTGCATTAAGAATTGGAGTCAAAGAATCTGGGTTGGGCCCCAGGCTCTGCGTTTTATCTGCTGGACGAAGGACAAATGACTTTATTTTTTATTTATTTAAAGGGCCTCTATTTCTTCATCTCTAAAATGGGAATAAAATAAAGATCTCTCTCATAGAGGTGTTCTGGGGAAAGGAGGAAAGGGTGGAGCTGAGCCTGGAGTCTGGAAGATCTGAGTTCCTTTCTAGCTTTAGACAATTTACTAGCTGGGTGACCCAAGGCTGGACATCTGCCTGCCTCAGTTTCCTCATCTGTAAAATGGGGATGACAGCATTGACCTCCCAGCGTTGCCGTGAGGATACAGTAAGTTAATGTCTATAAAGCACTTTGCCGACCTTAAAGCACCTTATAAATGCTGGATGTTATAAGTTATCCTCATAATTAGATGGAATCTCCGTTGATTAATTTCAATATTATAATATCAATTCTAGTAATGATTAGCACATTATTTATTATTAGATGGGAGCTCCTTTTATTAGGTTTCTCTCCAGTTATTAATATTATAACAATGGGGTATCGATTATGGTTATTAATACCATATTAATTATAACAGCCTATTGTTATATAGTGACTCCAGTGATCCACAGTGTAATATTAATTAGATTATTATGATATGATGATAGATAATTATTAGATGAGATGTCTAGTTATTAATTTAATTATAATTATTATAATACAACAATATAATATATGCTAATTATTAGCATATCAATATTATTCAATGAGAGCTCTGATTATATTAATCATAATCATTACAACAATATACAATCATTATCAGATGGGGTCTATGGTTGTTATTCCCCTCCTCCTCCTCCAGCTCTAGCATCCTACGACCTGTTGACTCTTCTCAGCACTTCACCAGCAAGGGAGGGGCAGAGGCAGCTCTCCCAGGGCTGCTGAGGGTCTGGGGCCTGGGGCAGGGTTCGGGTGGGTAGCCCTGGACCGGCCACTGTACTCACTTAAAAAGAAGTACTGATGCTGGTGGTTGTAAGGCAGGTATTTCAGTTTCTTCTTGCCGTACTGGAGGAGAGAAGGGAAATCGTTCAGAAGTGTCTGGACTGCTGACCCTGGCCTGGGGAGAGCCCAGCCATGGGGCCGGCAGGCAGGGAGGAGTCTGGGGGCAAGAGTGGGAGGTATCACCTCAAGTGACAGGAATCCCAAGTGATCCCAAGAAGCCAGAAAGAGGGGCCAAATTTCCCAAGATGACATTTAATGAAGATAAATGTAAAGTTCTACACTTGGAATAAACAATCAATTTCAGAAGGCCAGGATTGAGGATTAGAACTTACCTGAGCTCACTCATGAGCGCCTGGTATGGCAGACAATTGGTCAACAAGCCTTTATTAAGTCCCTACAATGTGCCAGGCACCATGCTAAGCCAAGCTTGGCCCTAACGCTACCATATCTGCATTGGTAGGACAGTGCCTGGATAAAAAGCTGGTCTGGCTTGGGGCCCTGCTAAGGGAAGGAAGCCAGATGGACAATGTGGGCCATTGGCCCACATGTTACACCCAGCAGGGGAGTGGCCCTAATAAGAAAGACCCTCAGGCAGGGATGTCAGTGGGGGTGAACCCACCCACATGGAATACTCTGTCTCCTGCCCTTGTCATCGAAGGAATGCATTGCATCAGGCCCAGGGCCAGTCCTGGCGCACCTGTTTGGGTGCACGTAACTGATCTGGCTGGCTTTCATGCCTGGACAAAGGACACAGGTGGAAAGGAGCATTTTGGCACCAAAAGGCCCAAGAGGAGGCGGGCCCACCTTGCTGCCAAGGGCTGGCAAGGGTCAAAGTGGGGTTGGGGCAATAGCCTTGGCAAAACGCTGACTCCACCTGGGACTTCTGGGACTCGCTTATCTCTGAACCAAGTAAGCACCAATGGGCTGAGCCCAACCTGTGGCTGGAAGTCCTGGGCAGCCCAAGTGGCCAGCAAAATCCTCAACGGCCTCTGCAACCCTGGACACTGGAACACTGGATAGGCCTCCCGGGCCTGGAGAACAAGGACCACAAGGGACAAGAGCTATCGTAATAGCTCATCCAAAGACCCCCCAACCCAACAGTCCATCTCTCAACTCCTTGTCTTCACATTGGCTGTCCTCCATACCTGGAATGCCTTCCCTTGCCTGCCTTCACCTCCCGGTTTCCTTCAAGACTCAGTTCGAATCCCACCTAATGAAAGAGGCCTTTCCAGGTGCCCCAAGACTAAGGCCTTCCCTCCAAGACTTCCTTCCATCTGCTCAGAAAAATGTATCTGGTATGCACAGAGTGGTTTACGCTCTCTCCCCCATTAGAATGGAAGCTCCTTGAGGGCAGGAACTGTCTTTTGCCTTTCTTTGATATCCCCAATGGTTAGCACAGCACTTGGCATACAGTAAGTGCTTAATAAATGTGTGCTGATTGGCTTGAATGGGATTGAGTACTGTTGTCTAAGAAGTGATGAAGAAAATGAAGAATTCAGAGAAGCAAGAGGAGACATCTCTGAACTGATGCAAAGCGAAGGAAGAAGAACCAGGAAAACAACATATACAATGACTACAACACTTCAAAGAGAACCACAAACCCGTTGAATAATGTGTCGTTCCAGTGACCAAGCCGGTTGAAAAGAAATGGGGAAAGAGGCGCTTCCCTTTTTTCTCTGCATAAGTGGGGGGCACCTGGGGGTCTGGAACACGGCCTGTGCTGCCAGACGCAGTGGATGAGGTCAGTTGCTGAGCTTTGCTGAACTACATCTCGCCCTTCACCCCTTACTCCCTTTCTTTTTTCAATTCATCATGACGGGGGAGGAGAAGGGAAATGGAAATGGAATATTATACATATATATGTATGTATAAACATTTTAAAGCCCTGTTTAGCAGTTCCATGATTGATCTGGAAGACTAAAGCTTCTGGACCAAGGGGATGGAGAGACAGCCAGAGCCCAATTCCCACCCGTCCCACTGGGGCGGGGGGAGCAAGCCCCACCTCCCCCCAGAGGCCATGTCCGAGTTGGATAACATTGCCAAGTCCCTTCAACACCTGCCCTGCACGGACTCTCCATTCTGGCAAACTGGCCTACATTTGCACTTGCCTGAACTTGGCATTCTATCTCCTACCTTCACCACCTGCCTTCCTCAAACATACACGGTGCTTCATAAGTGTTATTGATTGACAGACTGATCGATCAAAGCTCAGCTCTGCCATTTACCGTCCCTGGGTCTTTAAGCCAAGTTCCTTCATTTTTCTAGGTCTCAGTCTTCTCCTGCCAGACTCCATCCTCATACTTTCCTCCAAGTCTGTCCCTTCCCTTTCCCTCTGGGCTGCCCTTGAGTTCAGGCCACCAGGACCAGCCACCCAGATAACTCTAACAGCCCTGGAGCAAATTCCTGCCCCACCCCACCCCCATCAGTCTTTCAGCATCCCAAGATTTAACATTCCTTAGGCATGGGCCTAATCACAAGATGTTAGAAAATCTCAGAGGTCAACCCCATCATTTTACAGAGAGGACAGCTGGGCCCCAGAGAGGGGAAGGGAATTGGCCAAGCTCACACAGCCAGAAAGTGGTAGAATGAGGATTCAAACCTAGGACCCCCCACCCCAATGCCAGAGCTAGAGTTATTTCCACTGCCCCCTCCTAAAGCGCGTCACCACCACCTCTGGCCAAGGCCAGGCAGCCAGATCTTCCACATTAGCACATCGGTCCTAAATTCCAACACTGACATCAGGATTTCACAGTATTTAACAGGTTTAATCCTACCAGGGAGGGTAGTAAGGATGTGGGGGGGGGGACAACAGAATCAGAGATTTAGAGCCAGAAGAGACCTTCAAAATGTCCACCACTCTCGTTTTACAGAAAAGGAAATCGAGGCCCAGAGAAACAGGCCACTCACCCAAGGTCACACAGACAGTAAGATTTGAACCTCAAATCCTCATTCTTTCCACCATATCCCACTACCTGTCACTGATCACCCTTACAATAAGATCCTATTGAGCAGACAACCCCTATGCTATCACCTGGGCAAATCCCTTACTGACTGAGCCTCAGTTTTCTCCTCTGTTAAAAAGAGGGGTTTAGACTAGATGATCTCAGAGGCCCCTTCCAGGAGGAGGAAATCCAATGCTCCTTGTAGTTCTCATGATGCGTCTCTCTCCCCCTCCACCTCCCCCTCCCCTGGCAATTGCCCACCAGGTAAAGGACACATTCTTTAATCTGGCATTCAAGACCCCTCACTACCTTTCCATCTTCATCTTCATCATTTCCTATCCCTTCATCCTCCTCCATCTAAGCTGGGTCAGGATCACCCTGGGACCACCCATCCTCTTCCTTCATTCCCACCCAACTTGTTAGTCCCAACTCCAACACTGCCCCATTTCCTTAGTCCCAAGCCTTGGGGTGAATTCTGCCTCATAGACTTACAAGCTGGGTGACCATGGGGGAGACCTCTCTGTGGGAATGTGAAACAACAGACCGGACTCAATGATCTCTGAGATTTCTTCTAGCTCTCAATCCGTGACCCAGGGCTGCTCTTAAACCCTAACCTGTATTGTGCTCATTTGTTGGGAGGCCATAATCCTTCTGGCTAGGCAGAGCCCCATAAAAGAAGGGGCCACATCCCCTCAATTCCCCAGTTCTGCCCCCTGGGAACTGAACCCACAGCAGGTGCTTGAGAAATGTTTATGGAATTGATGAATAAGTGAATAGCTACCTACAGTAGGCACTGGCCCCTGAGGCCAGGCTTCATTTGGGGGACAACACAGCCCTGCTCAGACAGAGACCCCTCCCACCCCAGAAGTGGAACAGGACGCCTTTTGTTTCTGCAAAGAGGATTTCTGTGAAACTGTCCACTGCAGCAAAGCTGGGAGTAATCCTGTTGCTAACGGCAACCCGATTATAATTCAAAACCCTGGCACTGAAGACAAGACTGTGCAAGACGAGATGTCCCAGAGGCCTGCCCGACCCCATCTTCCTCAGACTCAGAGCTGGGGGGACCCCTGGGGTTGCTGAGTCCAGCCCCCTCCATTTACAGAGGGGGAAACTGAGGCCCAGAGAGGGCAGGTGACTTGTCTACTCGTTAGAAAGAGGAAGAGTTGATCCAATTCCAGGCCTTCTAATTCAAAATGCACTATTCTTTGGGGAGGAGAGAGAGAGAGAGAGAGAGAGAAGAAAGAGGAAAAGGAGAGAGAGGAAAGAGGAAAAGGAGAGAGAGAGAGGAAAGAGGAAAAGGAGAGAGAGGAGAAAGGAGGGAGGGAGAGAGAGGAGAGAGGAGGGAGGGAGAGAGAGAGAGAGAGGAAAGAGGGAGGGAGAAAGAGGAGAGAGGAGGGAGGGAGGGAGAGAGAGGAGAGAGGAAAGAGGGAAGGAGAGAGAGAAAGAGAGGAAAGAGGGAGGGAGAGAGAGAGACAGAGAGAGAGAAAGAGCGTGAGGAGGAAGCGTGCAAGTGAGCACAGGGGGAGAGAAAGAAACAGACACAGATAGAGGAGAGAGAGACAGAGAGGAAACAGAGACAGAGAGATGGACAGAAAGAGAGGGGGGTGGAGAGAGAGAGGGAGAGGCGACAGAAAGAGACAAGAGCAGAGGAGACAAAGAGAGACAGAAAGTGACAGAGACAGAGATAGAGGAGACACACAGAGAGAGTCAGAGGGACAGACAAAGAGGAAAGAGAGACAGTTGCATTCAGGTGTTTCTTCTCTGCCTCCAGGAAGGGTTTGCTCTTTCCCCAGGGAAAATTAAAAAAACACTCCACAGTACCAGTTCTTAGGAGCACAGGCCTGGTGCTGCAAAGAGCTCAGAGTTCATCTAGGCCAACCCTTTCATTTTAGAGAAGGGGAAACTGAGGCCCAGGGAAGTAAGTGACTTTTCGAGGCCACACATCAGAGACAGAATTTGAACCCAAGCCAACCTAGAGTTACAAAGTTAGAGTTACAAAGCCCCTCAGAGGTCATCAGCTCCAACCTTCTCATTTCTACGCATCAGGAAGCTGAAGCCCAGGGAACGAAGTGCCTCACCCAAGAAGCATCACAGCTGCATCTCAGGCTCACAGACAGTGAGTTGTTTCATATTTGGGCGAGCCTCACAACCCCCTGAGGGAACTCTAAGCCCTAATCTGCAGACTCTAATCACTCCCTTTATCTACATATCCCACATATCCCACATCTACATTCATAAAACTCAGTGCGGGCTGACAAGGAGGGGCAGGAAGGGAGATTCCCGTCTAGCAGGCTGGCAAGAAGAGAGCTGTCTTTGTGGGTGTTTGTGGCAAAGGGATTACACTGCTGTGCCTGGCCCTAGAGGGCAAAACCAGGAGCCTTTCCAGGCTCCTCACACCTCACTACCACCCCGAGAACTCTGTGATCCAGTGACACCAGCCTCCTTGTCTCTCCTCACACATGACTGTCCTCCCAACTCCGGGCATGTCCCCTCCTCAAATGTTCTCCTCCCTCTCCCCCTCCTCCTTCCCTTCCCCCCCTCCTCCTTCTCCCCTCCCCCTCCTCTGGGCCTCCTGGCTTCCTTCAAGTCCCAGATAAAATCCCACTTTCTACAAGAAGCTTTTCCTGCCTCCTTAGTGCCCATTATCCTCCTTCTGAGATTGCCTCTAATTTATCCTGCACATATGCTATATGTGAAAAGCTGGTTTTTCGTCGTCTCTCCCCTGTAGGAGGGTGAGCTCCTCAGGAACAAGGGCCACATCTTTGCCTTAGTTCATGTCATGGGCCCTGACTTGGCTTGGCCATAGAGGAAAGTTGGAAAGAGGCAAGTTTAGGCTGGATACTGGGAAACATCTGCTGACCATGACAGCTGTCCCAGAGTAAAAGGGGATGCCTCACAGGGGTGCGTCTCTCCTTCCTGGAGGCCTTCAAGCAGACAGGGGTGACCACTTGTCACCATGTTGGAGAAGACCTCTGCATTCAGGCATGAGTTAGATAAGGTGACCTCTGAAGTCTCTTCCAATGCCCAGATTCCACAAATGAGATCTGTACTTCCCTAGGAACTGATGAATACCTCTGCCTACGGTGGACAGAGCCTTGGACTTGGGAGCTGGGAAGACCTGGGGTCAAGCCCTTCCTCAGACACTTGGATTTAAGTGGGGAGGCATCTCAGCGATCCTCTAACCCAACTCCACTCATTTTACAGATGAGGAAACTGAGGCTCATTAAGGGCCATGGAGCCAGTGTCAGACTGAGATTTGAACCCAAGCCTTCCTGATTCCCAAGTTCAAAGGCTCATCTCAAGATGAGGTAGGTTGGTCCTTCCCCGGATCCCCCATTTCTGGGCTATCCTCACAACTCAGAGGGACTCCCTCCCTCCTCCTCCTCTTACCTCCACCGGCTGCCACTCGCCCAGGACAAAGACATGGAGCATGTTCACATCGGGGTCCTTCTGGAAGATGTTGGGCTTGGCGTGGTGCTGGAAGTGCCGATGATTCCACCAGTTGGCTGAGGCTCCCTGGGGGGGAAGGAGAGGGGATGGGGCTGATGAGCTCTGGGACCTGATGCTGGCAGGCGCCTGGAGCCCTGGGAACCCATGCATCCTGAGCGCTGGTGCCAGGGAAGTGCAACACACAGGGGCAGACAGCCAGATCAATGAAAAGAGGGGTGGGGGCGTGACCTCATGCAGAGTGACATAAAGAGAACCCACTATACACCATGTCCGGAAGAATGTCCTTAGAAGATAAGTCACTATAAGGAAGTCACATTGAGCAATAAGAAACCGGCTACAGATCATGAAACATACCTCTCCAGTCTTAAGAGAGAGGTGAAGGCTATCGGGGCAGGATGCCCGATACACTACCAGATTCAGTTACTGCATCCCCTGTTTTTGCTTAAATGTTTTTCTTTGCTACAAGGGAGGGGTTAAGCTGGGGAGGAGGGGGATGGGTGAGAGGGAAGAGAGGTAATTCCGGAAATCATGGATACCTAAAACAAAAGGCATCAGTAAAAAATGCTTTTTTTCTTGAAGTGGAAAGGGATGTCTGTCAATAGAAAATGGGTCAACTGCATGATTTGGGTAAGTCATTTCTTTCCTCTTCTGTAAGAAGATGATGGGATTAGGCAGTCTCTCTTCCAGCTGTGATATTTTATAGACCAGATAATTCATAAAGTTCTTTCCAGTTCTAAATCCAGGAAAGATCATAACGCAGTGAGAAGAGGCCTCAGAGGCTGTTTAATCATTTTACGGAGCATGAAACTGAGGCCCAGAAAAGTTAAATTAATTGCCCAGGATCACACAGCTGGTAAGTGTCTGGGGCAGAATTCCATCCCAAGACTTCCCGGGCTCTACAAGAAAGTATCAAATAATCACCAATCCAACCGTCAGCCACTAATTCTGACCCAATTCCCCAGCCAAAGCTTCTTACCTGAACTGAAATGCGCGTAACTGGATGGATTTGAAAGTGACATACTGTTGTTGCTGTTATTACCACACCCTTGAGCCTTCCCTCTCTATGGGGTCTCCATCCCTTTGCCCGTGACCCTCCCAAGGGAGCTGCCTGTTTTCAGAGTGACAAGCTCAGGGCACTGGGCATTGGTGGGAAGTGTTCCTTCTTGCCCAATTAATCAGCGGCACCCAAGGATTATTGATAAGCCCTCAGCTGGCTTGTTCACTTCCCGAGATAGATCTAGACAGAGATGGCAGATTTGCCAAAGGCCTGACTTGTGCCAAGAATGTTTTCCAAGCACAAAATGCTTGCTGGAGCAGACACGTGTTTTCATCGGTTGGCCCGCACTCTTGTCTAAGATATTAACCTGGCAAAAGTCCCCCAACTTGATGGAGACATCCGTGTTGACAGGTTCTGGAGAGAGAGCATGAGGGTGGCCCAGCACGTCATCTAGCGACGAACCACTGGCAGAAGCACTGAGGGAGATGCCTTGAGCCCGGGCTATCTATATCACTGCTCTGTGCAAGAGGCTCCCTGGGCTCCCAAGGGTGGGTCTAATCCCCCATGCTTTCCCCTCTCAGCTAGGTCTCCCACCTTCTGCAGGAAGCCTTCCCCGAACTCTCCTAATTCCAGTGCCTTCTTCCTTTTAACTATTTCCAACTTATCCTGTAGGTAGCTTGCTTGTACATATTTGTTTGCATGTTCCCTCCCCCATTGGACTGGGAGCCCAGACTGTCTTTTATCCCTTTTTGTGCCCCCAGTGCTTAGCACATAGTAGGTGCTTTATAAATTCTGGTTGGATGTTGAATGAGTGAATGTTTGAAATGTAGGAGTAAAATGGGTGTGTCCCTTATGTTTTATGTTCCTCGTCTCCTGGGATCCTAGAACTATAGAAGGCTACTCCCTCTTAGGATGCAAACTGTATCCCCTCCACCCGTGTCTTCCTGAATGGAATGCTTTACATTTTATATCCATTATCTCCTAGTAAGAGTACTGTGACCTGGGGCATTGTCATCCCCATTTTACAGAGGAAGAAACTGAAAGCAACATCCACCCTCCCTCCTGCCTCTGACCACCCTGAGAAAATACTGACCAGCAAGAAGAAATTAAAAAAAAAAAAAAGATACCCTGGATCAAATTCAAATCAGCCCCTGAGCTGGATGTCAAAAGACCTGGATTTGGAATCCTCTGCCACTTACTAACTGGCTGATCTTGGGTAGCTTACTCTCTGGGTCTCATTTTCCCCACCTGTAAAATGAGGAAGTTGAACTCTGTAGTCCCCAGGATCCTTCCCACTGGCTGGAAGCCTTGGACTAGCCCAGAGCTGGTTCTGTAGGCTGTGAAGATGAATTGCCTCCCTCACTGTCCCCTATCCTACCCCGCCCCTCTAAAACATCTGCTATGTCAGGTCAAAAACTAATGTCCTGAACAAACAGAGCCAAGATGGCAGAGGAAAGGCAGCAATCCAGATGAATTTTAATGAACTTTAAAATAACACTGTGGTCAAATTTTGGAGTGGCAGAGCCAACAAAAGGTTAGGGTGAGACATTTTTCTGGCCTAACATAACTTAGTAGGTCTACAGAGGTCTGTGATACCGAGGCGGGGGCTGTCGGCAGCACTAGCAGCACCTTTGGGAGCTCTCAGTCCAGAGACTGTAAGGGGGTCAGATCAACAGGTCAGAGACATTGCAGGGGACTGCTTGCTGGCACTGAGTACAGGTGGTACTGGCTGGCAACTCTATGGCCCACGTGCAGTTTTAGGTTGCAGTTCCAGGGCCGAGAGAAGTACAGAGAAGACCAAGAAACAAACTCTGAAGAAGAAAAGTGAAAACAACTACAAACCAAATCTCAAAAAAAAAAAAAAAATGCTAATTGGACCCAAACCTAACAAGAATTCCTGGAAGAGTTAAAGAAAGAGTTAAGAGTTTGCCAGTGGACAGAGCACCAGCCCTAGAGTCAGGAGGACCTGAGTTCAAATACGGCCTCAGACACATAACACTTACTAGTTGTGTGACCCTGGGCAAGTCACTTAACCCCAATTGCCTCAAAAAAAAAAAAGAGTTAAGCGTGGTAGAGAAAAATTAGGAAAAGAAATGAGTGATGCAAGAAAATTATGAGAAGAGAATTAAAGATCTTGGTAAAAAAATACTGAAGAAAGTAACACCTTAAAAAAACAGAATGGGCCAAATAGTAATAGAGGCACAGAGATTTACTGAAGAAAAGAATTCCTTCAAAGCTGAATTGGCCAAATGGGAAAAAAGGTACAAAATCTCACTAAAGAAAAGAATTCCTTAAAAATTAGATTCAGACAAATGAAGGCTAATGACTCTATGAGAGATCAAGAAACAATAAAACAAAGACAAAAGAATGAATCTCTTTCCATCTCATTGGAAAGACAACTGATCTGAAAAATAGATCAATGAGAGAGAATTTAAGAATTATTGGACTACTTGATAGCTATGATCAAAAAAAAAGCCTAGACATCATATCTCAATAAATTGTCAAGGAAAACTGCCCCCATATCTTAGCTCCATAGAGTAAAAGAGAAATTGAAAGAATCTACTGATCGTTTCCTAAAAGAGATTCCAAAATGAAAATTCCCAGGAATATTATAGCCAAATTCCAGAGCTCCAAGGTCAAGGAGAAAGAATTGGAAGCAGCCAGAAAGAAACAATTTAAATACTGTAGAGCCACAGTCAGGATAACACAAGATTTAGCAGCTTCCACATTAAAGGAGTGGGGGGCTTATAATATGATATTCCAGAAGGCAAAGAAGCTAGGATTACAACCAAGAATAACCCAAACAATAAAACTGAATGTAATCCTTCGGGGGTGGGGGGTGGGAATAGATATTTAATACGGTAGTGGACTTTCAAGCATTCCTGATGAAAAGAACAGAACTGAACAGAAAATCTGACATTCAAACACAAGACTGAAGAGAGGCATGAAAAGGTAAACCTGAAAGAGAACTCATAAGGGTCTCAATAAATTTAAACTGTTTATATTCCCATATAGGAAGGTAAAAGAACTTCATCATTATTAGGGCAGTTAAAAGGAGTCTGCATAAACAGAGGGCACAGCTATGAGCCAATTATGCTGCAACGATCTCCAAAAAAAATGAAGGCATGAGAAAGAGGGATGCATTGCAAGAAGGGGGATGGGAGAGATAGAATGGGGAAATTTTCCTAAAGGAGCATAAGGAATAGCTTTTACAGTGGAGGGGGAAATGGGGGGGATGGGATGGGTGGCAGGTAATGCTTGAACCTCACTCTTATCAGAATTGGTTCAAAGGGAAGAATATATACACACACTCCGTTGTATATAGAAATCTATCTTATCCAATAGGAAGAAATAGAAGGGGAAGGGGATAAGAGATGGGGTTGGGGTTGATGAAAGGAAGGATGGATTAAAGGAGGCAGTGGTCAGAAGCAAAATAGACTTTTGAGGAGAGTCATGATAAAAAGAGAGAAGAATAAATTGAAGAAAATGGAAAGAAGGGAAATAGACAGTAATCATAACTGTGAATGGGATGAGCTCACCCATAAAATGGTAGCCGAAAGCAGAATGGATTAGAAACCAGAATCCAATAATATGTTGTTTAGAAGAGACATGTTTGAAACAGAAACACACACACAGAGTTAAAACAAAGGAGCAGAATCTATTATTTACTTCAGCTGAAGTTAAGAAGGCAGGGGCAGCAATCTTGATCTCAGACAAAGCAAAAGCTAAACCAGACCTAATTAAACAGGGAAACTACATTTTGCTAAAAAGCACTATAGTCTACGGATTATTACCCCCAAAAATTTACAGCAAGTTTCTCTGATAAAGACCTCATTTTTCAAATATATAGAGAATTGAGTCAAATTTATAAAAATAAGAGCCATTCCCCCTAAATGATAAATGGTCAAAAGATAGGAACAGGCAATTTTCAGAAGAAGAAATCAAAACTATCTAGAGTCATATGAAAAGATGCTCTAAATCACTATTAACTAGAGAAAGGCAAATTAAACCAACTCTGAGGTACCACCTCACACCTATCAGAAATGACAAATGTTGGAGGGGATGAGGGGAAAATAGGTCCACTAATGAACTCCTGGTGGAGTAGTGAACTGGTCCAACCCTTCTGGAAAACAGTTTGGAACTATGCCCAAAGGGCTACAAAACTGTGCATACCCTTTGACCAAGGAATACCACCGCTAGGTCTATGTCCCAAAGAGAGCAAAGAAAAAGGGAAAGGACTTAGACATACAAAAATATCCATAGCAGCTGTTTGTGATAGCCAAGCATTGGAAATCAAGGGGATGCCCATCAGCTGGAGAATGGCTGAACAAGTCATTGTATATTATTGTGATGGAATACTACTGTACTCTAAGAAATGACAAGGAGGGTGTTTTCAGAAAAACCTGGCAACACCCACAGGAACTGATGCAAAGTGAAGCGAGAAGAACCGGGAGATCACTGTGCACAGTTAACAGCAACCTCGTAATGATGATCAACCGTGAAAGACTTGGCCATTCTTGACGATACAATGATCTAAGACAATTCCAAAAGATAATGACGTGGTGATCCAGAGACAGAACTGATGAACTGAGAGCAAATTAAAATATAATTTTCTCACTTTCTTTTTCTTGCTTTTTTTTTTAAATATGGCTAATATGGAAATGTTTTAGATGATTTCACATGTATAATTGATATATCATTTGCCTTCTCAGTGGGCATAGGGGGGAGAAAATTTGGAACTTAAAATTTAAAAAGAAGGTTTAAAATAAATAATGGAACTCCACAACAAAACCAAAAACCAAACATCCTGTTTCTCACATGACGCCCCTCCCCATCTCACTCCAGCTTCCCTCCCTCATTTACTACACACCAGTCCCTTTTCCACACTCTGTGTTCCAGCCAAACTGACCTGGGGCCTGATTCTCGGACATGATGGCCCATTTCCTGCCTCCATGACTTTGTACTCCTTGCAGCTGACTCCCTTCCTCCCGACAGCCTCTCAGAAGTCTGAGCTTCCTTCATTCAAAGTCAGGTCAAGAGCCACCCCCTCAAGAAAGAGGCCCTCTTCCCTCAACTCATCTAGCGCTCCCTGAAATGACTTTCTATTTACCAATGTGCATACGCTGTCCCCGCCCAAAGGATACAAGAGGGCAGTGATGGTTCTTTTGGGGGCTTTGAATTCCCAGATCCTGGCAGTGACTGGCACACAGGTGGTGATTAGCAAATGCTTATTGAGTAAATGAATGGTAGATTTCAGTGAAAGAGTGGGAGAAACAGCTAGGAGGGGAATCTGGGCCCCTTGACCTAGCCCACTCCTCCTCCTCCTTCCCCAGGGGTCTGCGTGCCAGCTAACCTGCGCCCCCTCCCCTCGCCCAATTCAGCCTACAAAAGCAAGCAACAGAGATGAGTGCTGAACCAAAGTTCTGGCTTGGGTATTACTGAAATTTGGCCCAATCCCTCTGGCCTGCCCACGGAGCTGGGGTCAGGGTCCACCCCCACCCTGGGGGGCATCCCTTCCTCTGGACCAGGGCCACATGGGGCCACACAGACCAGCCTTGTGGTCTCCACAAGGCTAAGGCTGGTTAGGAGGGGGGTGCTGCTTTTCAGCATTCAAGAGAGTTTTTATTAGAAAGGACAGAGCAGGAGAAAAGACACAAAGCTCCTTGTGTGACTCGAGGCCCCCCAATCCTGGCAGAAAACCAGACCCTCGTACGAGCTCAGGCGAGGCCGCTGGTTAGGAAGCTGGGTCTCCCATCAGCCTGGGCCAGCAGGAGGCCAAGCTGGCCGTGAGAAGGCGCCTCGGCTCTGCTCAAGCCAGGAAAGGGAGAAATCGGCTCATTGGGGACCAAGAGGGAAGGTGAAAGCCCAGGGCCCAGCGGTCAGAGCCAGCCAAGTTCTGCGAGGGAGCCAGGCCAGTGACTGCACCAGGGGGCAGGTTCACAGGAGCCCTGGTCCGTGAGCAAACTGAGGCCCAGGAAGGTGACGTGAGAGATTGACTAGGTCAAGTCTCCCATTTTACAGATGAGGAAACTGAGGCAAACAAGGTTTAGTGACTTGGCCAGGGTCAAACAGCTAGGAAGTATCTGAGGCTGGATTTGAACTCAGGTCTTCCTGACTCCAGGCCTGGTGCTCTGTGCACTGCGGTGTCCCCTAGCTGCCCTTAGAATAGAATTTTAAGAGTCAAATGTTGGCTCTCTGGAAGAAAACATGTCCTGATTATGAGAGCTGCCCCAAGGTAGACTGGCCTGCAACAGGACTTGTAGGCGCCCTCCTCCTTACTGGAAGGGCTCAGACACTGGCCAGTCACCTGCTGGGTATGTGGTCATAGAGATTAATTTGGGGACCCTTTGGTCCGGAGGTCCCTCTCAGCTCTGGGATACCACTCTGTGCAATGACTTATCCTAGGTCATTCAACCAGTAATGAGCACATCTGAGCTTCGAAGTCGAGACCCACATATTGCCCGCTATGCCCCCTCCACTGCAGCTGGCAAGCCCCACGGCTCTTCTCTCTGCCCTCAGTTACTGAGTCCCTGGGCATCTTAGGGTGTCAGTTTCTTCATCCACAAAGTGGGTATATCAGGCTTACCCTGCCTCCTTGTGAAGATTAAACTACAAATCAAAATAAGCCACGGTCATCTCCGTGCCCCCGTGAGACATCAGAAGTTCTTACCAGATGTATTTCCTTCCAATAACTCATGACTTACCAAGATGAGTTAATTTGGCTTGTAGCCCCAGAGCAGGGAGGGATCCCAAGCCTAGCCTCTCACTTGATTGAGGAGGAAACTGAGAACTGTTGTTATTCAACAAGAAGAGAAATAAGAATGATCCCGGTAGTGTGTGATGGGCAAGAGAAAGCTATCAAGAGCATTCTGGGAAAATCTGAGGATGCAGAGTGCTTTCCACCGGGAGGAATCAGGGCAGGCAGCATCTGAGTGGGGTCTTGAAGTTGGCTTCTGAGGGGACCAGGTGAGGAAGGATGGCATGCCAGACATGGGGCACAGCCTGTGCAAACACACGGAGGAGGGCTGGGAAATCTGCTTCTCCTTGCCCAGACTGGCTTGGAGGGACAGATCTGAGAACGCCTCTGATCTGTAAAGGAAAATGAGATGAGGCTGAGGCTGCTTTGCACTGACAGCACTTACCTTGAGGTGGCCAATCACAAATTTGTGGACAAAGTGGTTCCACGTGGATTTCTTGTAGACCGAGAGATGGCCATAGTCATGTTGGAGCCATCCAGCCTGGGCCTGGGGAAGAGAGCAGGTCAGGAAAAGACACTTAGTGGGCCCCTAGAATGTACCTGCAAGGCCTGGCCTGCATGAGCCAATCAAAAGGACAGAAACAGAGGGTCCAGGTGTGCCCTGGGAGCATAAGGAGGTGAAAGGTAAGAATGAAGGGCAGAGCCAGGGAAGCTTTGTCTCTAACTCAGCATGTGACCTGGGGGTGAGCACCTCCCCTTTCAAAGCCTGTTTCCTCATCTGTAAAATCAGGGAGTGGAATGATCCATAAGGTTCCAGCTCAGATAGTCTATGTTCTAAGCTCTCTCCTGTAGGGTCTCCCCCATAGCTGACATTCCATATTCTAATGTCCCCTGTTTCTCACCTGGGAGATCGCTAAGATGAAGGCTGTCAAGATGGTCGAGATCCAGCCGGTGCCAAAGTAGAAAATGGTGAACCAGCCAATGCTCTCCATGATGATGATGTGGGCCAGGAGCAGGAGGAAGAACATGTGGTTGGCCTCAAAGAGCTTCATGTCTTCTGCGGTCTTCCTCAGGGCTCGGAAGTCCTCTGTGATCTGAGGCTGAGAGGCCAGAGCCCAAGAAGGGGTATCAGCCACATGGGCAATCCCCTACAACATGGGAACCCTAAACGTCCCCAAGCAACTCAGTGCTCCCTCCCAGAGGAACCAGCTTTCCTATGCTGAAAGGGTTATCTGGGTGTCCACCTCCAGGCCATCAACAGATAGAAATATTTCTTGAATTTCACATGCCCATCCTCATGCTAGGTGCTGCATTAGGGAGAGGGAAGCAATAGGCATCCTCTATGCCCTGAGAAAACTTCAAGTCTGGCTGGGAAAAAGGCATAAATTAAAAATATATAAACTATTGAGTCATCAGCAAATAGGTATAGTTTTGTCTCCTCTTTACCTATGTTTATGTCTTTAATTTCTTTCTCTTGTTTTACTATCACTGGCATTTCTAGAATGTGTCAGATAACAGGGGTGGAATGGGGGTTCTTGTTTTACCCCTGTGTTTACTGGGAAAGCTTCTATTGTTACTCTTCTATAGGACTCTGGCTTTGGCCTTTAGATAAATACTTTTTCATGATTTTAAAGAGGCTCTTCCATCCCTGTGTTTTATAGGGTTTTAGCAAAATGAGTGCTCTGTCTTGTCCAAGACTTGTTTTTTTTCCGCATCTCTTGAGATAATCATGTGGTTTGGGATGTTTCTGTTTTTAATATAAATAATTATGCCATTTGTTTTCTTTATTCTGAACCATCCTTGTATCCCTGGTATAACATACCTGGATGATTTTATGTTTTTTATTTGGGGGGGGGGCAAGAGGGTTAACTGACTTGCCCAGGGTCACACAGTTAGTATGTGTTATGTGTCTGAGGCCATATTTGAACTCATGTCCTCCTGAATCCAGGGCCAGTGCTCTACCCACTGTGCCACCTAGCTGCCCCGACATAGACATATCCTTTTAAAAGGATAATTTAACAAGATAAGGTAAGAGAAATGGTGTAGCTAGATAATAGTTTATATGGAAAAAGAGATGGGGGTCTTAGTAGATTACAAGCTCAATGTGATTACTGTGTGAGCTGAGCAGGGGAACAAAGGAAAACTTGTCATTCCATTGGTGTGGGCAATGACCATCAGGGCCATTGTGCAACTTAATGACTTTAGAAAATTGCCCTGAGCACTTAAGAGGTTGAGTGACTGGCCAAGGGGAATGGAAATCTGGGTATTTGAGGCTAGTGGGCTCTCTCTCTCTCTCTCTCTCTCTCTCTCTCTCTCTCTCTCTCTCTCCTTCTCTCTGTCTCTCTCTCTGTCTTTCTTCTCTCTCTCTCTCTCTCTCTCTCTGTGTCTGCTGTGCTTGGACTTTTTTTTTATTATTAAGAATGCCTCGCAGGGACAGTTGTGCCCAGAAATGAGTGATAGGAGGCAGAAGAGAAGGGCTTCTAATAGGGAGGTGAGGTATTGCGTACAAAACAGTCTCTACCAAACACCTGCCTCATGCCCAGCGGTCTTCTAATTGTCCTTGTTCCCTGTGGGAAACCACAAGAATGTAAGCTCCTTGAGGGCAGGACCTAGTGTATTTGTCTCAGTCTCGGGCACCCGATGGTGAATGCTGGTTGATCTGGACCGAATCCTGCCTCGAGCAGGAGAGGACCCCAGGGGCCCTGGCAGGCAGGCAGACCACATTGCAGTCCCAGGTCCTCTGAGCTCCCCCTGCCCCCCTGCCCCCCTGCCCCCAGCTCTGCCCCAGACTCACACTCTTGCCATGGTCTTGGCTGGGCTCTCCAGGGGCCAGCTCCCCAATCAGCAGGGGCTTCATGAACTTCTTCACAAAACACAGGTCTTGGTGGAAGGCGAGGAACGCATCCTGGGTGGGGAGAAAGATGCAACAGCTGGATCGGAGGCAGCAGAGTGACCAGAATAAACAGAAGCACTCTGGCGCCCTGTCCACATTTTCCTTCCTGCCTAATCCTCTGAAGATTGCAGACGAAGAGCTGGCAAACGGATTTCTTAGTGATCATCTACTCCGCCATTTTACAGATGAGGAAACTGAGGCCCAGAAAGGAGGAACAAGTGGCAGAGCCAGGATTGAAACCCAGGCCTCCCGAGGTTTACCGCCTGCCATGGCTGGGACTGTCCTCCTCTTCCCAAACCTCACCCCAGGCAGTTATCCCACCATCTGCCCGGGGGCAGGTCCAGAATTGGGCCTCTCTTCCCAACCCCTGGGGAAGAAGTCTGAGATCACGGAGCCGGCAGGTAGCGGGAGAACTCTTCCCACAGTAGGGGGTCCCAGCTCCATGAAAGTTAGGGGCGCCTTGGAAGCCACTGGCCCAAAACGAACTCATTTTTGCAGATGAAGAAACTGAGGCACAGACTAGGCTAGTGATTTGCCCACACAGAGGCAAGAAATGGGTTCACACCCTAGCTTCCCTAGTTACTATCCAGAGGACTTTGGGCTAGTCAGTTTACTTTCGCCTCTGGGCCTCGGTTTCCACACCTGCCAAAAAGGAGGACTTGGGCTCATGACCTCTGGGGTCCCTGTCAGCTCTGGGCCTTGGATCTGAAGTCACTCTGCCTCCCTGGTCTGTAGAACAAAGGGGCTGAAGGAGATGAGGACCCAAGGTCCCTCCACCTTGTTCAGAGAAGGAAAACTCCTTCAGGAGAGGCCCCCAGTGTCAGGAGGAGAGGGTGGCCAAAAGTAGAGCCCAGATCAGGAGATCCCTGTTTACAAAAGCAGGGGTCAAGGTGGAAAACTTCATTATCTGTTTAAATACTGTATCTTATAGTGCTGGGGTCTGAGGCCTTAGGTTCAAATAAAAAAAAAAATCTCCCTGTGCCTCAGTTTCCTCTTCTGTAAAATGAAGACGGTAGGACTAAATGACTGGACTAGATGGCCTGTAAGGCACTATCTATGCTCCAGGCCCTGACCTCAGTGCTGAGGATACAAAAACCAACAGTTCCTGCCCTCAGGAAGCTCATATTCCATCAGGTTCCAGACAAGGGGGTGAGTCACCCAAGGTCACAAGCACGCAGCTGGCGCCCATTCGAGATGGTCCCCAGAGGTCTTCCCTCTACCCCATCTGGTCTCACTCTTCATTCACCTCTCTTCCTTCCCACTGCTAACCCCCTAATAGGAACCGTGACAATAGCTCAGAGATATAGACCCTTGGCAGCCTAGTGGAGAGAGCGCAGCCTGCCCTCTGAACTCAGAAAGACTCCACCGTCCCATCTCAGCAACCTTGGACAAGTCCCTCAATCCTCCATAGCCTCAGTCTCCACATCTGTAGAATGGGGATGATAACATCTAGAAGGTCTATCTCACAGAGCTGTCGTGAGGATCCCGGGAGATAAAGTTGGTAAAAAGTGCTTTGCCAGTCTTAAATCTCTATCAGCTATTTCATTATTGATGCTGCTCAGAAAGGGTAGAGTATCACCGCATACCCAGCCAACAAATATTGATTATCCACCTTCTGTGTGCACAGCTGCTAGCTGGGGGAGCGGGACAAGGGGCAAAGGGGAGAGTTCAGGTGAGCCCCAGCTTTCTTCGGAGCTCCCAGTCTGGGGGGGCAGGGCAGCGAAGAAGAAAAGATGAACGCAGATCACTAAAATACAAACAAGTCAAGTTCTTAGCAGAGGACAAAGGGACGGGAAGTGCCAGAGGGCCGATCAGTCACCAGGCATTTATTAAGCGCCCACGCATGCCCTAAGCCCTGGGGATACAAAGAAAGGCTCTCTCCAGCTGGAGCTCAGCATCTGAGGGAAACAGCAGTTAAGTAAGGAGGTAAATTCTTAACTGAAAGGGGAAGAGAAGGAAGTCTTTGGCAGCTGTGGTTGGGGCCTGAGGGCACACAGACCTCCGGACCGCTGTGGATGATGGCAAAAGCGTGAGAAGCCTGGAACAGCAGGAAGGGGCCAGCAGGAGAGGTTTCAAATGCCAAATGGAAGAACAGGGATTACTGTCTCAGGGCTTGAGGAAGGCTTCCTGAAAAATGTGGCACTTGATCCGGGCTTTAACAGATAGAATTTCACCAGGCAGAGAGACAGGGAAGGAGGACATTTCAGGCACACAAAGGCACAGAGAATGCCCGGGGGGTAGGGGGCAGTCCAGCCTGGCCAGGGGGAGCAGTAAGAGCTAAGTCTCGAAGAGTCTCAAAGGTTAAGCTCAAGAGCTTGGGCAATGGGGAGCCACAGCGGGTTTTAGAGCAGAGGCCCAACACAGACAGCAAAGGGCTGCTGTCCTGCAGGGGCTAGCCTGGCTGGGTTCCCAGAGGCTCAGTACCCTGGCCGGGCTGGTCCCGGCCCCAGCCTGACTATCCCAGTCTTTGCCTTCAGTTTCCCTAAGTCCCCTCCAACCTGATATAAGGCATGCACAGTGACAATGTCCCAGCTGCCCCAGGGAGAGGGTGCGCCTCCCTCCCCCACCTAGGAAGCTGGCAGATTGGATCAGGAACCTGAGAAGCGTAACCGATGATGCCAGGAAACAAGGCCCTCGCTGTCCTAGTGACCCACACTGATGTAGCTCGGGCATCTCCATTTCAGAGAGCTCAGTCCCTTGGGAGCCTGGGTCCCTGAGGTGGGATCGGCCACCTGGACGGACCGACAGCCCAGAGACCTCAGCACGAGAACACCACGGCTGAAGAGGAGCCATATGGAAGGACTGGGGGTGGGGAAGCAGACCCAGAGAAGGACGGCATTGGGCGCGGGTTCAAAGCCTTCCCCTGACTCCCCAGGTCTGAACTCCTCAGGCAGCAGCAGAGCTGGAAGGGCCCTCAGAACAGGGAACATGGGACGTCAGCTGGGAGTGACGTCCGAACATAGAAGAATAGAGATGGGAGGGCCTTAGAACAGAGAACACAGGATGTCAGAGCTGGGAGGGACCTTAGAACAGAGAATGTGGGATGTCAG